CGCCACCACTGTTCGTTCCCATCTGGCAAAGTAGGATTGGTGAAAGTCACTTCCACATCTCTACGGTTGTTTTCGACTTACTTTATGTTCGATCAAAGTGAACTTGCTTAGCATCACTGCGATGTAAATGAACAAAAGGCCGTAGCCACCAGCGAGGAAATATGTATCACCGGTGACAGTGTTCGACGACTCCATATCAAAACTAAAAGTATAAATATCATAATTAAGACTATGTGATAGTAAATATTGTGATTTTTAATAAGCCTATTTTCGGGCAAATTGTGCCAGAACAAATCGATGAACCAATGACAAATAATTACCTCGTGAATGCGATACCGTAGACAGTCATGTCTTCGTAGTCATCCGTTGCAATTTCGATGAATTCCAGTTCCCAATCTTCAGCATATTTGTCAACCTACAATACGATATAAAATTCTGTTATATATAACTGTAGCAGGGGCGGATGTGGGGGGCTGTCTCTTGGGCAATGGTCGCCCAAAGGTTATTTTCTGGCGTCTAGAACACGAAAATTTCGCTGGCCCCTAGTGTGGTGTTATCGCGATCGGTCCAACTTTCGGCCCCCTTGCAGACATCTCTGGATCCGCCCCTGAGTAGCCAATACAATCTAGGTCCATTCTTTTAAGATACAAAGATGAACCAAAAAGAGATGAAAAAATACCTCACAATTGTGATAATATACGGTAAGCTAAGTCGTAAGCAGAGGGAAGATATACGGTACCAATAGATGGGAGGGAATAGATATAGGGAAAATATACCAAAGTAAAAGTGAAACAATTGCCTCATAGCTAAATATTAGTAAATTAGCCCAACTGTACTGAGGAGGGTTCGAATGTCGATGGGGATATGTCTCAAAAATATGAAAAACAATATTGTAAAATCAACCTAAATACAGGTGTTTGATTTGATTATTCTTTACAGAATCATGTTGTTGGTGTGTTGTAAATTACTGTTATTATAGCTACCATTAGCTATTAATATTGTTAATAATGCCAGCAATACTGACATCACAACCTCCACCACTGCTATGCACATTCACTACCATGCACCATCACCACGCATCGCCATCAACAATTAACAACTTGGTAGGAATGATAAAAACATGTACTGACGTATTTGCCTTCGGAATCATCAAATTTTCTGTTATCCACGACTCCGTAGTTGCCCAAAGCGGCTTTTGCAATACTGATGTACGTTTCATCATCCACCCCACCTAGCAGTGATGCCACATTTACCTCCCTAAACGTCACAAGACTTCAGGACAAGGAAAAAATGATTAGTTGTCAATATCATTGATTTTGTTGGGGTGGCAGTCTATAAATGAAAAACATATTTTCCTTAAATAAGACCCTATACTGTCCCAACTGAGAATTATATCTTTAAAGCGAAAAAAATGTCCATACCTTATTGGATTAGGCTCATTTATCTTGTCAAGAATGTCCTGCTGCGATAAACCATCTATAATAGTTTTATTGAACCCCCACAGCTCTAGGATACTAGACACGAAACAGCTGTCTCCGAACCTATAGTGTACACCGACGTTAAAACAAAGAAAGCAAAGGTTAATGTAGAGACCAACCATCTAAGGTTTGAAGCCCGTCGTAATCTTTGTACAAGATTTTATATTTTCAGGTATTGCATGTTTGATTAATTACCTCCGCCAAGGAGGTTATGTATTCACTGCTGTCTCTCTGATGATGACTCTCTTTCTGTTGGACTGTCTTTCTGTCTGTCTTTTAGGCCTTCGGGGCCTATGGTAGGCCTCCCTTATGGATCAGAAAAGTAAAATGCATATTTTAGAATGTTTTTAATATTTTCCGGCCGCATATCTCACAATCAGCCATCCCAATTTAGAAAAAATAATAATTGTGAAAAATAATAATTAAAAAAAGTATTCTATAGATGCACAAATAATAAAAATAACAAATTAATAATAAAAAATAAAATAAAACAAAAGGGAGATTTGAACCCGAACGTTCTATTAATTAGTTTCACACTTAATACATGCACCTTTACTACATTTCACCTGATATATATAGCTGGTAATATTACACCAGTATAACAGCAAATTGGTCTACTAGCGGGTCGAGCGCTTCGACTATGTACAAATATGGCAATATGACACAACAGGGAGAAGGTTTGTACATTCAGATTATAGAATAAGAATATTAGGAGAAAGGGATTTCCTTACCCACCCAGGAGCTGTCCATATAGGTGTGGAAGCCAATTGCCGGGTCACGTGAAGTGCATAGGAATCAGCATGTTGCACACATTTAGACCTGTCTCTTATACACATCTAGATGTGTATAAGAGACAGCTGTCGTATATTATATATGATATTGAAGGGAGTAAGAGTAATAAAAAAAAAAAAAAAAAAAAAAAAAAAAAAAAAAAAAAAAAAAAAAAAAAAAAAAAAATGAACAATGAATGAATAAGATTACAATATTAAAATTAATAAATATATATAAATGATACTAACAACAATTCAATTTAATCATGGGCATTAAGAAAGAGAAATATGTATGTCTAAACCAGACAATTATAACAAAAACACTTCATCCTCGACATTTATCTTGAAGAAACAGAAACAGTTTTCGCAATATGAGAAACAGTTCTCAATATCAAGTTATATTTACCAAAAAAAAAATAAAGATAATATCTACAAAAAATAATAAAGATAAATTAAAATGTAAATTGAAAATAATCGACTTTTCAAATCATTGTTACACACTCGTTGGAAAGTAGATATATTCGCAAGCGTGCTCCGCAATTTGCCCACTTTGGCAAGCCAGCAAACCAAACATGACAAGCTAAATTGTAATCCTATCAATAGGCCTACTACATAAGAATAGTTTTACATGACCAATCAGTGAGTGCATTACCTCAAAGACACATGAGATAGTATAATCCATACTCCAATATCGAAATTCACGCCATCTTTCTTGGTTCAATATTTCGGCATTATTTATGTCATAGAATAAATTTACCTAGTGTAAAACCGGCTTTAAGCTGGTTTTCCACAGGCGAATTTATCGTGCGAATTAAAGCGTCGGTTCGCTTCCTGAGTTCTGATTGGTTGCGCATTTTTTTCGCTAACAAAAACTTCGATAGAAATGTGAATAAGCATGAGCATGTGCATTAGCCGCCGCGCTTTTCATTCGCGCGAATAAATTCGCCAAGTGGAAAATAGGCTTCAGACCGCCGTATGACGCAGCTTGTGCTTGATGCATTTGACCGCCCTCATGCATCGATAGACGAGGCAACACCTGCTTATCGTACTTGCTCCCGACAAGTAAATTTGTTTATTTGTCTAAATATAAGTACTTTTCTTTTAATATTTTTTCATATAAATCACATAGGCCTAGGCCTATGTATTACTTGTACACCTTATTCTTTTTCTTAGATAAGAATAATTAATAAACAATACTCTGTTATTATTATTTTTATTATGATGTGTGAACAACATGACTCAGTGTCATGCATTGTAGGCTTTTAAGTAAGCTAACCTGTATACAAATTGTAAGCTTTTTCTTCAAAAGTACTTGGCTCTTAATCTCAGTTATCACAACATCCGGTTTTTAATAAAAGGTTTAATCTGTATAAATTCTGCACCAAGACAAAATACTTTTCCGCGCAAGTGCACAGAATTTATACATTATTTATTACCATGGAGGTATTATAGTGAACAGCAAAACGACTATTAAAACGAGAACAATTTAATATGTAGGCCTATATAATAAAATCTACGGTGGTACCGCAAGCTTTATTATTAAGACTAAATACGGTACAAGGTATAGGCCTAAGTGATATTTACCTCATTAATACAGATAGGTCCATGCTTATAGGCTTTAGTCTCATTGTAGGCCTATTCCGGTGTATAACGAGGCCTAAGACCTAGTTAAGCCGAAAAAGTCACTTCGTGGAAAATAAATTCATTCATTCATAAACACTTCAGGGGTCTATATGATCAATTTGTGTGTGAAGTTTTAATAGCTTATCCTTACCGGTTTAACTTTGACCAAACCGATCCAGTTACATCCTGATATTTGATGACGTATAATTAATGGAAATTGGGCCTAGACTATTATACAATACGAAAGAGGTATTTATCTATATTGTTTTAATAATCCATTCACCAACTATGAATAATTTTCAATATAATACACTTAATAAATGCTATTGACCTTACGTCTTGAATGGTCAATGTGACATTAGTATGCACTCCAAGCGATAGAAAGAATAAGCATAAACATATGAATTTTATATCAATGCGACATTATTTAAAACTTTATTTATTTGACTGTTTTTATTTAAAAGCAGCTAGCTCAGTTGACTAAACTGGAGGTAGCCACTGTGTGTGCACTGAACCGTGGTTCCCCGGTTCAATTCCCATCGCTGCTTTCCTTTCAGGCAGAGGGCTGAAATCCAAGTTTCAAAACCGCACCGTCTTTCGGACGTTTAAGCCGTTGGTCCCGTGTGCAAAATAGTACAGTCCATGTGCACGTAAAAGACCACAGTACCGGTATGCTATTCGCAAAAGAGAACTTAGTACCCCACTGAAAATAAGTCTCAGGATTTTCGTGGGTTATTTTTTGGTGTGTATGACACCGAAAATATTCAACCAACCAACCACTTTAAACTCTTATTTATTTAAGCGTTTCATTATTTCAATATATTCAGTTTATATGAGCGGTTAGAGAACGTTCCATACGCTGAATATACTTTGATTAAAATTCGGCTAACCTTAGATTTCTGATCGAATAACCTTCGCATGAGATAGGAGATAATCAAACTTTTGTTTAAGAAATCATGACAGGCTAACGTTGTAGCTTATTTACACTAATGCTGAACACCAGGTAAACACAAAGATCATATTAGGAAATATGGCTAGTAGGATGAGGCTGCATGAAGATATCTATCAATTTCCCAACAAGAACTCAAACGGGTAAATTGCATCAGGTCTGTTTGCTTCCTCCAATGCCGCAGCCAGCTATTGGGACAGTTGGGTCAGTCCGACACAATGTTTCTATTAGGTCCACAAAGAATGGGTGCACATTTTCAAAAATGGTTTAAAATGCTGTTTTATCACAAAATGAGTCCTGTTTTTGAAAAATGGGTCCAGATTTTTCTTATTTTTTGTGTAAAATGTGTACACATTATTTGAATTTACGCGTGAAGTGGGTCCAAATTGATATTGTCCCGTACTGTTCGAAAATCTGACTGCGGCATTTTGCTTCCTCCCTTGTCTACGGTTTGTTAAAATTTCTTAATTAACACATGTATACGTTAAAAACACTTCGCAGTATTACATGACACAGATAGATCCCTAGGCCTAAACAATGAATGCAGACTGCTTTCACCAACCTTATAAATATTGACTGGAACGTGGATATAATTATGTCGGTTATTTTGCAACAATTTGCTTTTTTTCCTGTTGTCATCTTGATGGTATTTCTCTAATGGAACGTTTCTTCTTGAACAGCTATTTAAGCGTTGACTGCTTATGCAATGTATGCTTAACAGAGCTCTCACAAAAGTAGCCTTTGTTTGTTGTTGTGTAATGCAAAATGGGATTACTAGGTCCAAAAGCTATTAAATCTCTCGTAAGTCACTTTTTTATATCGTACTTTTATTTTTTGTATTGTATTACTGGACGCACCAACAGATGTTGAGTGTCGCTGGTTCAAAACTGAGATCCAAATAAAGTTTAAAGCTTGATCATACGAGCAGTGACATCATGCATAACTAATTCACCAGATTAGTATCTGTTTAACCATGGACCTATTATAGGTCCATGGTTACTACAATTATGAAGGCCAGTTGCATAAAGAAAAGGTTTAGGAAAGAGTTTAGCACACCTTCCCATGACGTTATTAATGACGTTTTAACACGTCACGATGAAAATATCTCGGGAAAACGGATGAAATTGACATTTCTTGAAGGTATACCAACAATTCAATCATTACTATAGTAATTATCATTCAAATTTTATTTATTGTCATAAGTGCCTTCTTTAGGTTTACTATGTAGTATCTTAAACAAATATAAATAATAAAACAGTAAAAAGTTCCTTTTAATTGTGAAGTTATATGAAAAATAAAACCGCATGGTGGGATTCAAGTTGAACCTGGAGTCTTTCGCTATAAGGCGAGTGTGCCATAGACCTACTATCGGACCAGTCGCCCAGACCCATCGGTAAAGATCTAACCCCAGTCACACTCACTCACTGTGGTTCAACAATACTTTTCGTGTATGTGTGAACGTAGAAGGTCAGTTGAGAAGTGTGAGTTAGCTGCGCTTATGATACATCCCTCCTTTCCAGAGACTACAGGCTCAACTCCTTCCCCCCCCCCCCCCCCCAAAAAAAAAAAAAAAAAAAAAAAAAAAACTGAAAGCTTTTTTCTGCAAAAGGGATTTAAGATTGTTTAGTCGATTAAGCATCATATTATAATCATTAAAAATTATACATAAGATATCTACTGTACTCTTTTCAATAACCTTATTTTCGACTGATGATTGACAAGTCCTCATATAGATTATTTATTTATTTGGTGACCCTACCTTTGTATTGCACTCATAGTCAGTGGTGCGGTCTTACAAATATAGGCATAGGCCTACACAAGAGAATAAATGGTAAAACATATCTTAACTAATAAAATTAAGCAAAATTAAACAAATACAGTATAGAATGATGTTAAGCTAATCCCATGATGATATACTGCAATCAGTAGGCCTACAAAACTAATTAGAGTGAAGGGGAATTGTCTTCCGGTACTTATGGTTTTGTGTTCTCGATAGTAATTAAATCGTGATTATATTTGGTAACGGGTTCGCACATAATTATTATGTGCGAACCCGCCTCCCGCCAATAATGATTATATCGAATATAAATAATATTTTATTTTTGGCCAGTTAGCACACCCGCAGCCACGAAAAATGAAAATTTCAGTGTTTGGCTAAACCATTTGCTAAATAATAAAACAAAATTGTATTTCTATTTTTTGCATTCCTCTAACAATCTTTAAAAAACATACCGGTAAGTTCGAGAAAATTGTATAAAAACTCGCCGCTATTTTCGTATTGTTTTATTATTATTCGATTAGTAGTTTTAAATTTTCAGTTTATAAAATGTCGCATGTATATGTAATTAGGCGAGTTTTGACGACGAATGGTAGTCGAATACAGTCAATGGCCAATGGGGATGTAGCTCTCTAGTAGGTTCTTTAGTACGTGTGATTGTGATTTGTGCATGATTTTCTAGACACGAGAAGGTAGGAGGAGTACTGTTTTCTTGTTCTCTATACAACTTATAAAATGATTGCTATCACTTATGATATACACAATTGTTAACATTCACTATAAATCTATGCGATGGCATTCCAGAAAGTCGATGATTACTAGGCTAAGCAGAGAGTTCTTTATCTCCCTATCATAGCCTACCGGACTAGGCTAGCCTAGGCTTTAGGCTAATCAATCTTTACTATTTATTAGCATGCGGCATGACAAGTGCCTAGCATGCTGGGCCTAGCTTAATGTTGGCCAACATATTATACATCATAGCAATTTAAATCATATTGTACACTCCATACAATTACAGATTACTGAACAAGTAGTACACATTATGTGTACTTCCAAAGTAAACCCTCAAAAGAAGGCCCCAAGCTAGGCTAGGCCTTTTTTGACGTGTGGGTGTGTGTGTGTGTTGTTGCTGTGTGGACTGTTGTTTGCTGAACCCATCCATCCATCTGGAGCCTAGATTAATAGGCTACAGTTGAGGCACCCATTGGATCCAGCTCTGCAGGTGGATTTATAATAAAATTTACAATTTTGGTTTTGGATTTTAGAAACATTCCAAAAACCTCAACCGTACATAAAAAAGTACTGTAGGCGTGTTTAGGAATTTAAACTCTATTCTCAGGAACATTTTTTTTTTTTGATTTGCTGATTTACATCAATTAATCTATTGTAATACACATTTTACAGTTTATTTATCTTCCAGTTTAAAAAGGATGTCCGATATAAACAGGCTTGTCTATGCTATTCTAGAATTTCTGAATCAGCAGGTCGAAAGTGGAGCCCTCAACGAAGATGCAACAGAAAGTGTGGAAGGTACTGTAAAGCATAGCACTTGAACTTGTCTTGGGCTCTGATGTTGGGACACCAACAGCTGTCTATTCCTTGGCTTTAGTCCTTGAGCAAGACCCTTTTAATATGTCACTCTCTATTTCAGAGTATAATATTGATGTGCAATAAAATTGACGTCGCCCTAAATTAACTGACTAGAATACTTCCCTGGAAGTGGAGGAGGTTACACATTGTGCATGTTTGTTTACGTGTTTATACTAGGATGAGCGCAATAATAAATATATACCTTCAAAAAATATATTTCTTTATAACATGGGAGTTATAATTAATGTAATGTAGACAGTTGTTGTTTAAACATCAGTTATCAATATTGAATTTTATACTGTTAAGTTTGACCTTCTGTCCTTTCAGTTTCTATGCAGTGCCTTGAGAGTGCCTATGGTGTAAGCATTTCTGATGATGTCATTCAGTCTCAACTTAGTACGGGAAAGTCACTCCTAGATATATTTACATCAGCTACTGGGGTAAGTTGCAGCTCGTAGATAACCATATACAGTAAAGTACTTGAGCCATGATATTAGTTTTGAATTTACATAATTTAACATTGTGACCTATTTTGTAACATAACTTAGGCTGTACATTTGTTATTGACTTTTTAAAGATTAAAGATTAAAGACATTTTTTGGCACATATAAAATACAGAAAATTGTATTGCATTGCAGATGAATATAAATAAATATAATAAATAATTAATCTGCTTTTGGCAATGCTGAATGGTTGGTTGAAACGGGAGCTTTTCTGATTTATTCATTGGGGAAAGCTATGCAGTGTAACAATTGCAGTAAATAGAATGTTATAATGTAGCGAAAGTGAGGCAATATTATGAATACACACTTTAGCCTTCTCAGTGCTCTTTCCAATAGTAAACTGTAGTGTTAATAAATAACAGTAATACTATGCTTAATACAGAAAGGCAAGATTCTTTAAAACAATATTCTCTAGAAAAGAATTCAGTGAACAAACACTACAATACAATAAAATAAGCATAATTTACAGTTTCATTTCTTCATTTAAATACACTTTGCTTTTACAAATTTCCATTATAATCACTGTAATTATTGTTTTGTAGCTCTCTGCTAATTCAAACTCCTCTGCTGATAAGGCATCTGGAGGGTGTTCAATAGCAGCAGCAGCAGGTTTAGCTGTCATCTCAGAGGAGGACAAAGCAAAAGCAGAACAACTTAAGGGGGAAGGTATGTACAACAATTGTCAGTTTAATATCAATGTTTGATAAAAAGTATATGTGCAGTGGCAGATCTAGGGCTTGCAATTGTTACTTGGACCTAACCCCCTGAAAAAATGACACTAAGTTGAATGTTTTACAGTATATCTTTAATATCTTTCAGGAAATGAATTTATGAAAGGAGAAAAATATGAAGATGCAGTTAATTGCTACAGCAAAGCAATCAGCATTGATAATAACAATGCTGTCTTTTATTGTAATCGGGCAGCTGCCTACCACAAGCTTAACAAACATCAGCAAGCAATTGATGATGGAAACAGAGCAATTACTATAGATCCAAAATATAGCAAAGCTTATGGAAGATTAGGGTAAGATTATAAATTAAAGTTTTGCTTTATTTGTCCGTAAAGTTCTTTAAAAACGTATATTTTTCTTGTGAGATATTTGTATCTAAGATGCTTATATCTATTTTGATTTTTAATTCCACTGTCTTGGGTTGAAATCTTTTTGCTAAGGTCACTCAAAACACAGCCATTCATAGATATATATGGAGTGTTTGGAAGTAAACTTAGCAGTTTAGCTTTTCGCTACTAATGTATTTTTTTATGAAGGAGTTTTTTGAATAAAGATACCGATTATATATAAACTTATACTTGTGCGGTTGTATAACATGCGCATGTTAATGGGCATAGCAAATTGATTCCTCTCTAAGTGGGTTAAAATATGAAAAATGACCACTAGATATAATTTTTCGCTATTTTTGGCTCCACCTATTGAATAACAAGTTTTGAGTGGTCAGTTGTTACTGCAAGTTTAATTCACACTCGTTCTGAAGTCCTTTGGCAAGTGCATTGTGAAATGTCTTGGTATTCATTAACATTTTTAAATGATTTGTGTTACTTTTAATTGAGAATTTTATGATGATCTCTGTTTCCCTTCACCTTCCCCCATTCCAGATTATCATACAGCTGTTTGAATGACCATAAAAATGCAAAGGAGTCATTCTCAAAAGCTTTGGAATTAGACCCAACGAATGAAGGCCACCGTGCAAATCTTAACATAGCTGAGCAAAAAATGCAGGAATCTAGTATGGGGGTAAGTTAAACTTGGTTTTTCTTTTTATATTGAATTATATACTTTTTTTTGGAAAAGTCTCCGTATTCAAATGATGTGTCTTTTTGTTTTAGGTACCTCCTACTGGATTTGGAGGACAACCTAGCTTTGGTGGTATGGACTTAGGATCTGTTTTAAATAACCCAATGTTAATGAATATGGTATGTACTATCTTGGTGTTTATACTGTTTATTACATTTATGCTACATTCAGTTTTATGTTATTTTGAACTTGTAATCATGCCATTTTCATTTTACTGAGTGTATCAGTTGCTTTTTAGCTAAAAGGCTACAAGAACAGTATTTTTGAGCCAAATGGCAATTTTTAGTGGCCTGTAATAATCCTATACATGCAGCACGCCTTCTTTCTTTTGCTAGAACAAAAACCTTTTTTACAGCCAACACCGATCATCTGTAATAAGTAAAACTATAGCTGAGCATAAAGCAGTATTAAAAAGTGCATGAAGGTTTTTCTGAAAATGTCAAAGTAGTTTGGCCTCAGTGTTAAATCAGAAATTCACTTTGGCTCTCCAATCCATTTTTATGTCTATCCCTGACATAAACATTTGTTTTTTCCATTTTTAGGCATCACAAATGATGGCTAACCCACAGATGCAGCAAATGTAAGATTAACTGTTTATACATTTTATTGTTACAAAATGTTACTATTGCAATTACAGTCATTCATAAAAAAATAGTGCTGCTTCTATTATATTAGACATTTTTCTAATTACAAGAAACAAAAAAAATGTTATGAGCTTGGATGGCAGGAGATACTTGAAAGAATTTGATCTGAAGACATTTGGAATTTGTGGTATAGCACCTTCATAGCGAGCCCATTGGCCAAGCGGTTAAGACAGGGGAACTGTGACATACAGCCACAATATTGGCGCTGGTTCAAACGGCACGTTTGCCTATGGTTCTGGTGGTGGAACAAGTCTTCTCGGATAAGGACGCTAAACTATAGGTCCAGTGTACACAATTGGCTCGTGTGCACTTTAAAGAACCCAGTACATCCTTCGAGAAGAGTAGGGGTTACCCCGGTGTACTGGTCCATTTCAGCCCCCTGTCCGGCCACAGAAGGAGTGTTTAAGAAAAATCATACACACTAGTAGCTACGTAGGAACTCTAGAAAAAAAAAAGACAATTTATTTACAGCTAACACTCCACTATCTTTAATTCATATATTCAACAATTTATTCTTATTATATATTTATTCAAAGTGCTTTCATTCACTTGTTCACTTTTTCATTTATACTTTCATTCTTTATTTTTGTATAGGATGCAGGGATTACTAGGTCAAGGAATGGCTGGTGGGTTTGGAGGACCTGGTGGGGCCCCTGCCACCACCCAGCCTACTACAGAGCCAACACCACCAACTAACCAAGCGGCAGACAGTAGTCCAGCAGCACAACCTGACGGCATATCAAATCTACTAAGAGCGTATGTAAAACTAAATTAATATTTGTTTAGGATGTTTTTAACAGCCATGGCCATTTATGTAGAACATCTTATGTGTACAGTATATTTTTCTTTTGTCAAGTTGTGATAATAGGAACATGGCTACTGAATATTTTTTTGCATTCTTAACTCCAGAGGGCAGCAGTTAGCACAACAAGTCCAGCAGCAAAATCCTGAATTAGTTGAACAGTTAAAACAGCAATTCCAACAGATGCCAGGCGGAGACGATCAACAGCCTCCCCCAGAAGGAGGTGCTGGGGGTAAGAGTCTATTATCTTTGACTTTTAGATCAACAATAAAGGTTTTTTTGACATATTTTGTGTAAAAACCTATACATATCTATTTGAAAGAAGCGGTTGTAATGATTGGGAAAAAAAACTCTATTACCCCAAAATACAGGGCCAATGTAATCCAGATCTTATACATTATTATGGTTGTGCACTTTTGTGTAACCATAACTTAATCATTTGTGCACACCTTGAAAAAGGGATTAATTGAAACAGCAATCAAAAAAGCAAAATATATAACACTTGCTTAAATACTGATGAACAAAACATGACATTGGTTTAACCATATCCTTTTATTTCTTTTCAGGTGTTTGAAAAAAAAAAGGTTTTAACATGCGAGTAAACAATTTTCACAAGACAAGGAAATGAATGATGGCATTAGCTAACCTTCAAATTAGTTAAATCATTAATCATTGAAATATATATTAAAATACAGTAGGTTGGTTGAGATACAAATTATACTTTTATTTTTTATTTACCAAATATATATTTTAATTTTCTACTGTGGATGTTGTCAATTTTTTGTAATGAAATGGTTTCATTTTTTTTCCTATTAATCAAATGAAGAAGTTATATTGAGTTGCTGCCATATCCACTGATATGAGTTTTTTTAATGACTAACTTTGATACAATAATTGTACTGTTAAAATTATATTGTACTGTTACATATATATTTTCGATTGGAACACTTTTTACAAATGTCCTTCGTATCACAGAGGAAATAACTAATCCCTAACCTGTTGTTTTAACCAGATGTTAAAATGAACACTGAAAATGAAAAGATAAATCAGTTTGTAACTTTGTTCAGAAAATTTCTCCATTCTATCACATACTGACCAGGGGTCATAATAAGTCCCCTGCAAGTCACTGGCCTGGAAATTGAGACATTCTTCTGCACCAGTGGCTGCTCTAGGATATATTTTCTGAGGCGTGGGGGAGGGGGGTTCTGAGCTGTCCAACAAGGGGACTTGGGCTGGTAGGCCCGAGCTCGGGAAAGGGTTTGAGAGGGTGTTCCCTTTCCCAAATGAGATTTTTTTAAGAATAGGAACCTCTGGATGGTCAGAAATGACACTCTCTGATTGTGACAGACTTGTATTAGCTTGGCAAGGGCCTATTTTTATATATTTTTTAATCCGACTGCCCGACAAGCTCTGTCCAATGATGGGCTTGACCTGTCCGGTGGAGGGGGGGGGGAAGGGGATTAAGCATTTAACTAGATCTCCCGGAAGTGACTTTTTTTAACTTGGGACCCCTGTACTGACAACATCCAGATGTACAACATTCCACACTCAATCCATCGCTATTGTGTCTTTCTTCCTACATAACAGCTACAAATTATAATTCCAGTACCAGAGTCACATAATCCATTTTATGTATATCTTCTTCATCACTACAGTTTTATTTTGTAAAGTGCAAGGCGGCACTTGTATTCTGTTGTGGCTCCACCATGGGGGAGAGAATTGTATACCCCTGTGTCTGTCTCCACTTGCATTTGTTGGACTAAATATATTCGGCTTGCCATCTCAAAACCAGCGTAAAGGTATTCCGAGTAATTAGCTTAAGAATGTGGCAGTGTTGTATACTGTAGTACAGAGAAGCTGTAATACTGTTATTTATAACATTAGCAATAATGAGTTAATTTCAGTAAATGACCTCATTTTAAAGCTTATAATATCATAATGTGGAGAATATGAAAATATTAAAAAGTCATTATTCTTGTTTAGGTCGCTGATACTGTTTTTGGCATGACAAGCCCAATATTCTTACTGTCGACCCTAAATTTGAGCTGGTAATCAAGGGATTTTTGTAGAAGTCTGTAAATCATTGAAAACTTTATCTTAATGCAGTTGAGTTGATTTGTTTATTTTGGTAATTTAAAATGATGTTTCAATGTTCAGATTTATAAGATCGTATTTCTGATTTCAGGAGGTGTTAAAAAATGCTTATTTGAGGCATGCCATCCCAAAACCAGCGTACTCTCACTATGTGTGAAACTGAGTAATTAACAGCAGAATTAGCATACTATGTTGGTTATGGTTGGGTTGTAAGTGAGGGAAATTTTCATTATAGTGAAGGTAGATAGCGCTTTGTAAATGCAAGGAATAAGCACTTTGAAGTAACAAGTATTGTGTACAAAGAAGCTATAATAGTTTTACTCATAATTTTGGAAATAGTTGATTCCCGTAAATGACCCATCATTTTAAAGCTTATAACGTAGAGAATATGAATAAATTGGAAAGCCAATTCCTGCCAGATTTTAGGGCCAATATATTTGTTGAAGTACTTGCTTATTGCTAAGTCCATGGTGCTAAGTGTTTAAAATGGAAACTGTGGAAGAAAAAGAGGGTACGAGTCCTGGAGAAGTGTGCTTCTGCAGCGCACTCGCTTCCTTGGTTATTGTTCATCAAATGTTCCTCAAAGCCAAGTCATTCATATGTTCTAAACATCCAAGTAAATTGCATCTTTTCAAGCTCTTTATTAATATCCACAGTGGATTCTCTTTTTTTTCAGTAATGTCAAATATACATTTTTCGATGTTTGTCAACACTTTAGTATACTTGCTATATTATACAGTGAAACACCAAACCACACAATTTATGTAATTTCTAGGATTTGAGTCTGTCCATAGACATATTTTGGAGAAAACAATGTACAGTAATTAGAAGATACAACTAGTAGCCAAATTTACTGTATGCATTTAACAAAATGACGATTCAGGAAGACTGCAAGTATTGAAATTGTCAACTTAAACCTCATTGTGATATCAGGAAGGTAGACTCAATTGTAAAACAGATAACCAGTAACTTTTTATAGTTTAAATTTAGCATATAAAATTGAGTTGACTAAAAGACAATAATTAAAAACACCAGCTGATAAGCATTTAAGCGTCATTTCCATGTTGGTACATACTACCGCTGATCGGTTATTTGAATTAGGGGAAAAACAATCAGGGGCGGATCCAGTAATGTCTGAAAGAGGGGCTGATTGAGAGACAACACTGTTTTCTAGATGTCCAGAAATAACCTCTGAAATGTTTCAGGCAATCAATAATAATTTCTTTCTTCCTTTCTAAAAGAGGTGACTAGGCCGGCCCGGTTCCCCCTAAATCCACTCCTGACTATGCAGTGGCCCTGCTGGAATGAGTTGAGAAATGAGTCACTGTTTTCCCCCTTATTGTATTTCATGAACACTAAATGTACAGTGTGTATGTTTTACACAAACCATTTTAAAATATGATGAACAAACTATACATTGAATACTTTATAATTAATTTATTCAGTATATTTAACTTTATACATCAACTTGTTTTCACTTAAATTGTATATACTGTACATTTTAAGTAACTATTATAGGTTCATTGAAATCGCAATGAGCCAATCTATTATATTTAGTGGCTTGAGCCTTACTCTGGATTTGGATAAGATACATTTATATATCTTATATAATTATCAGGTTGTCGTAAAGATTGAAAATTAACAAATAAACATTATGGGCTTTAATTTGTTTGTACAGAAAACTATATTTATCATATTTATAGTGATAGACATTTCTGACCAGGTATAAAAAAAAAAATTACCTAGCATGTATCTAAACATTCTATTATATCAACCGTACCAATTTAGAATAGATTTAAAAAATATAAATATACCATGTTACAGGAGTTTCCAAATTCAATACAATGTACAGTATTGGATATACTGATTACTGTTTAACAAAATACCATGAATCACAGGCCACCATTCTGACGTCTGCTTACATTTGGAATGTCATCCTTCAATAAAGTTTTATAACATGAGTGTGACCCAAGGAATAAATATTGCACTGTTTCTTCATGCACCCTCTAAGCTTGTGTAAACAAATACTTGAGCAATGTCATCATGTTCATATGTCCTTTTAAGGTATTGATCAGTCAGTCTTAGACCGGAGATGCTCTGCAATATAAAAAAAAAATCTAGTTTGGTATAGCCAGAAGGAACTCTTCAATGCGCTTGAGCCCAAGTCTGTTTATAATACAACACTTAAGATTGATTGAAACAAACCTAGCAACTTTGTTTGTGTTAGCATAAATACGTCCAAAGTGCTCTAGTGTAAAAATAGCCTTCGACAAAAATTACTTTAAAAATTAAATAAGCACAAGATAATTTCAGATGTAAACTGAAGCCTCACCAGTAGGCCCGGTATCGAGGCCATCAGAGTTAGATCAATATCCATGCTGGCACCCGGCCCAAGCTTGCCCAGCTGCTTGCCCGACACACCTATCCAATGTAGACCTTTGGTGGTATTTGTCAGAACAAGTCTTAATTCCATTGTTCGATCACTGGAGGAAAAAATTTATTCCATCAATAGATCAGGTAGATAAAACAGACAACAGTAGTTGGTATCAGTTTACCAGATGGCTCAGACATGAACAGACCTGGAGAAGCAAGTATCTGTAAGACCTAGTCCACACCTCAAGCAATTTGAGACCATTTTGGTATAGAGCGCTACTTTACATTAAAATATATAGAAAATAGATGTACAACATAAAACACATTAGCAATTTCACTGTAATTATGTTTCCGTTAGAGTGAACTTATTTTTTAAATAAGGTGACAATTTTTATGTTGGCATTTTTTTATCCATCCCTGAAAGAAATCACATATATTGTAAATAAAATATTTCATACAAAATACTGTATACAAAAATATATTTACCAGCAACTTGTTATCTGACACTTAAAATTAAATGGTTTCTCAATTTGTACGCCGTCTGGTACTTCATTGATTGCGAGCCGAACATCACCATAACCAGGTGCCTATAAACACAAGAAATATGAATCATATTTTTTTTTTTAATTAAAAAAGCATAAAAAAATTAATAGGAATATTAAAATATTTTGTACATTACACATAACATACAACACGTATTGTTGCAATCAAGTGATGCAGAAACATACCACTCTTTCCAACTGACTAGTCTGCAAGCGCCCTCTCTCGCCAAGGTTGGTCCTCCATACAATGTCAAGCTTGCCGATGTTGGAGACTCCTTTAAGAATCACCTTCAGTGCACCTGGGTGCTGTTTAGCAGTCAAGCAGTAGAGGTACTGTCTGACGTCCATTGGATTAAGATAGTTTAGCTTGCCAAATGTAGTTTCACTGTGCAATATAAACATAATAATTTGGATATCAATTTGAAATACTAAACGCACAAGGTATTAATAAAAAATGTCAAAAAAACTCCTCTTTCCCCTTATTTAAAAAAATCCAGTTACTGCATTAATACTTAGCACTTTCATATTTCAAGTTTCCTTCCTTCCATCCATCCATCATTCAATCCATCAATCATTTCATCCGTCAGTCATTCCGTCCATCCATCATTACGTCCGTCAGTCATTCCGTCCATCTATCCGTCCATCTATCTATTCATCCATTGATTCTTGCTTCCCATCAATAATACATTTATTTATTCCAATATTTATTTAGACTATTATTTCTTTTATTCTAATTGCATCCCTAGATAAGGTTCTTATTGTAACAGGGTCTGTAATTGTCCTTACTTAGATTGAGTTCGTTCAACTGTGTTTAGTTCTCTGACATTGTATTTAGGTGAAGGTTCAAGGTTCACTTTTTCCATGCACATTGGTGAGTTTGTGATATTCTGAATCTGTGCTTCCAAATACACCTCATCTGACTAAAAGTAATACCACAAATATTATCAACAATTTTAAATTGTAAATTGCACTGTAATCAACATTTATGAATTATTCAAATTTATTCAAAATTAATTAAAAAACCAGTTATTGGATTGATTAATTTGCAATATGAACTTAAAAATTATTAAGCATTGCTCTTTGTGGTTATCATTACGATTGGATGGGATAGGAGTATTTTGGTGTGAATCACACCAAAGATAACGGACTAAGTCCAAAAACTTGCTTCCAGTCCTTCTGGTGGTGAATTGGGCGGTACACCGGGAGACAATCCCCTACTCCTTTCCAAGAGTGTACTGTGTTTTTAATGAGCACAAGGCCACGTTGCACACAGGACCAACGGCTTAAACGTCTCTTCCGAAAGACGGTGCACTACTGTAACTTGTATTTCAGCCCTCCAGCTGAAATACAACTTTCAAATCATATCAATTTAATTAACTGAGAGCAAAAATATGATAATATTTTAGTATTTCATTTTATAATATTTGAATATTCTGCTCAAAAATTTTAATGAATTTTTAGATTTTTTTTCTTTGTCACTTACGTCATACATTTTATATTAAAGTATTACCTTAAATAATAGTTTATAAAATCATATATTATGATAGGCATAGACACTAAAATTTACTATAACTCTCAACAAAATGATTGTATACTTCTAATCAGATACATTTTAGTTATAATAATAATAATGGTAATGGTATAAAAAAATATACAAAAAAAAATTATAAAAGAAAGTAAAGGGGATATGACAACAATTTTCAGTAGATATTTGACATTGAAAATTGCTGATGAAAATATGAAGGAGAAACAAAATATTTTGTGTACATAACATGGATAAGTTTTTACCCAAACAAGTCATGTAGTGAGAACCAGAAAGAAAACCAACAAGTACCTGAAAGTGCTATAATCCAACTAAACCAAAACAAATGAAAAAAAAATGATATAATGGGTGGGATGAGGGTATAGATGGTATTCTAAACTATCAAGGACAGTATAATTGCAGTATGCAGACAATCTGTAGTTAAACCAACTTGTACCAATTCACCATTCTACTCACTAATTAAAATGTTACTCCGTTACTAAAAATTTGCACCAACACATGTAGAGATTTGTTAAGAAATATTAGTAGTTTAAAGTAGTAGAAATTAATATGGAGTCAACTATTATTGCTTGTAATACTTGTTTGAGAAGCAGATTAAAAAGAAAAAACATGTTATATCGTCATTGCGGACTTATAAAATCCGCATACACCTTAAACCTAAAAGAAAATGCATACTTTTGGAGTCCGTACTGAGCCCAAAAAATCCGCAATGAAAATATAACGTGTTAAAAGACCGAATCCCCAATATAGTATTAAAAGAAGTTGAACAAATGATGAGAAGGCCTACATTAAATATGAGTTGTCTGAAGGATATAATTTGCCCAGAACGGGTATGTGTTGGTATAACTACAAATTAACTGACATAATTCAAAGAAAATAATAAGAGCCTTTTAAAATTCACATACAGTACAGAATATGACAATACATATACCTCCATTCATTATACAGTAAAAAACATTAAAAAAAGAGACAACATAGAATCAGACAATTAAATATGGATAAGTTGATTATGTTATAATGTATTATATAAGTGTTCATATATATGTTGTATTAGATGGTGAATATGACCCTAGTATTAAAAGAACATTATGAAAAGTATTAGCTGAAAATTAGTGAAGGTGAACATCAGAAGGTAAATAATATTTTTCCCCCTTCACATCCAACAGCAAGTACACACTAGGCACTTACAAGATAGAATCTTATTGAGGCCTAGAGAGGGTAGTTGTTTTTATTCTTGAGAAATCAAAGATGTGCTGCGACAGGATTGAATCCAGTACCCCGGGATTAAAAGGCAAGCCCCTTAAGCACCAAAACTAGTTTTACACTAAGCTAATTTATTCATGCGAATCAAAAGCTTTTCGCTTCAGCGAAATCAGTAGTTCGAACTGTTTCTACTTTTTATGAAGTGAGAAAATGCGCAACCAATCAGAGATCAGGAAGCAAACTAACACTGTCGATTCTCATGAATAAATACACCTAGTGTAAAACCGGTTTAAGCTGTTCAACTCCACTCCAAGAAAATAAGTAATTCACAATGGACATTATAAAATAATAGGTGGATACAATCTTTAAAGGTTGTTGACCTATAAATACATTTAAAGATGTATTAAAAGAAAAATAAGTTTCAGTGTAGTAAAGAGATAAGACCTAAATAATAAAAAGAAGCTTTTGCCAAAAATATAAAGTGGAAATTTTTAATGTCTAAGATTTTGTTAGAAAAAAAAAAAGAGTCAGTTATTCATAGAGCTGTAAATATGAGCTATATTAAATGGATTATATTGTATGACCATACATAGTTAAACAGAATGGCTTGCAAAAAAAAAGAATAAAAATGATAAGAAGATGGAAAGAATGATTGAGGGAGGAGAGGGGGTATATGAGATAATAAATTAGATGCAAACTTCTACAACTTACAACAAAGTCCTGTGGCAGGGATAGGGTACAGTGAGTTTATACATGCAGACACACCACAACAACATAGTAAGGAGAAAATCAACACAAAGTTAATATTTGGGACAACAATATAGTATCCATGGCAACTACAGCACAACAGTTGCATAGCAATATGGTTATTAATAACATCAAGACATTTTTTAGAATAATGTATATAATTTTAATAAGGTAATGTAAGAAATAGATTATTTTTTGGTATATCTAATTAAGATTTTAAATATGATAACATTTTATCTGATAAAATAAATACAGTAATAAATTAAATAAATTATAATCTAATAAACTAAATTATTTAAAAGTATGATATAAATATGCTCATACAAGATATGAACAATTGTGTACAAAAATGAAAATATATTCATATCTAATTAAATAAATCTATATTCCTTCTCTTAGTAGGAAATTACTGGAGTGGTTCTTTTTAAATTTTGAAACAATTATAAACAAAGCTATATAAAGTACTAAATTTCTCATTCTTCAATATACACTACACCTGTTAAACTAATCCTCTGCTAAGTAATATAAGGGGAAAATAGAAAAGACATATCATACTTGATATGAAAAGGGTTACTGTACTTTTTTAAGTACAGGGTTACTGTACTTTTGTATAACTGTGTATCTTGTTGCAGACCCATTCAATAATCAGTGAACAACAGAAAGAAGTGTATAATATACATTACAGCTAACATGCCTTGCATACAAAGGGCTCTTTTTATTACCTGGTCACTAAGTCAATTACCCAACATCTACAAATCATATATATACATACTGTACTAAAAATCAAAGGGGTACATTTCAGGCAAATCTACTGTATAATAATGTTACTTGCAAACTAAATAATTATCAAAAGTTTTTGGCTTCACATATCCACAGTTAAAACATAGATCACATACACACACACATCTATACATGTTATGTAATTAGACAAAAGCCATACTGCATAGAACACTCTCCCTCGGAAGCGTCTGTAGTCCTGCAGACATTTGAGGTATATAAGTAAAAGGAAGTGATCATTTCATAAGAATTACTGAAAAATAAATTATTACAGAAGTAGTTCCAACAATTCATGTCATATATAGTCAGTAAACAGCCAATCAGAGTGTGGTGAGTTCAGAGTGTTAACATTATCTACAGGCTAAGATGGATGGATGTAGGCTTGGCATAATTATATTGTGAGCACATGGAAATGCCACCTATAGATCCATACATAATTTATGTATTTTATATTAACATTTGAAAGCCAAATTTAAAAAAAAAATCATGTTTCTTATATCCCATTTTTCATCATTTGAGTAGCTTGACTGATTGATAAGAACATATTTTTTTTTATAATTTGGTCAAAAATTATAGTAATTATTTTAGATCTTAGAATCCAGTAATGTCATTAATACACCATTCCAAATATGTTTAATATAATTTGTACAAGTTCAATATTCCTATTAAATATCACAACTACAATATTAGCTTACCTCAGCATTATAAAACTTTGTTTTCACATCAAGTGGTTTCAAAACCTAATAGGATAATGGAAGAAATTTAAAATCTGTAAAATAACTGATTTGCATTTAAAAGAAATGAATAAGTTCATATCAAAATTCTAATGAGACGTAGATCAAAGCAATTAATTAATCTTCTTTTCATAATTAAACAATTACAGAGCATGAAATAAAAAACAGTAGAAAACTTCTAAAATTCATATTTGTAACTTACTTGAAATTTGAAAAATTTTCTAAAGTACATTTTTTCACCAGAGGGCGCTGCATAACTTACTGCACACACCAAACTAGAAAATAAGCAATGATACTCATCAACAAAATAAACAAGATGCAAGAATACTTCTAATAATCAAACATGTACTCTAATTTTTGATTTAAACATCAACTGACATCCTTGGCTTAGCTGGTAGAGTTAACTTCTTTAAATATGGTTTAAATAAGAAATTTAAAAAATAATAAAATCTAGTTGGTAATGTTTTACTTTTTATGTCTGCATAATAATTCCACCCATTGATTTGGTAATTATTCAGACTTAATAGATAAAACACTAGTTATAAAAAATCAATAAATAAATAAATAATAATAATAATAAAATATTTTAACCCACAATATAACCATGCTTCATTTCTATAAACATTGATGTAACCGTAATATCACATACATATGCGTTCCAAGTTCTTTGACCTCATGATTGACCACATCATCTACCGAACCGTCAGGCTCCAAGTCACCATTGTTTGGAGTTGTCGTGGACGATAACGTCAACCTCTGTGAAGCTGTCTGGAGATCGGTTTTCACTTGAATATCGGACACAGTGCTCTGGCTGTCATTGTGCACATTCACGTAACTTGAAAATGTCTCTCCTAAATAGATACTCCTGCATGTACAATATAAATTGGTGACTAAAAATTTCTAGTACTTAAAATTCGAATTAAAATTTTTAAAATAAGCTATAAAATGATTGGCTACTGCATTATTTTATATGCATAATAACTTTACACTGTTAATATAATATGCTATAGGCATTTAAAGTGATTTACTATCATTAAAGGAGTGATATAAGATTTAATACATATAAACACATTTCATTGCTCTAAATTTTATAATGCTTACCCGAAGTTTTGTGGTAGTGTCAACATTTCACTAACAGAGAAGGATGGTATACTTTTAACACTCGCAAGACTTGGTTTAATATCTGTTAATGTGTCTCCACCTAAGAAAAAAAATATATAGTTAGTAAAATTTTCATAAAAATATTATACAAAACATAGCTTACAGCTGTTAGTATTCATGTCCGTGGCAGGGAAAGTGTTAAGGATTTTTCCCACACAATACTTGACAGGCCTGAATGAAGCTGAGAAGTGCTCTTATATATTTAACACACATTTTTATCTGTAGCTTATTGTAGCTGGTGTATTTTGTGGAGTGTATAATAGAAGAAAGAATTAGTATTTTTTTTATCATCATTAGTCTAATAAGTGGTCTTTTATTGGAGGGAGACTGTAATTGATTAGGATAAACCATTAAATAAAAATGCGTGGTGCTTTCTGGAGCTATGCTTACCTGCTATATCATTAGCTTCACAGAGGACTGGTGTTAAACCAATAAACGATGGTTTTGTAAGCCTCATTACTAAAAAGAATAAAAAATCAAGAACTGAAATTTTTGTACCAATACAGAGACTGTGTTCAACATTTGGGTCCAATTGGGTGCTCAGATTGGCAGAGACAATAAAGTGCAGTGTAAAACTAATTCTAATTCAAATCATCATTAGTTGGTCTAAAAAACAGAAAAAATAACCCCAAAATACAAAGAAACCCCAAAAAACCGGCTATTATAAGTTCAGTTGCTTATTTGGCAGCAATAAAAATGAGTTTCTGTGTAAATTTAATATTAATAATATTTTGTGACTGTGAGCCATCATTTTTATCAACAACAACGAAGCCAGCATACCATAACAAAAAAAGGCTTTCCAGGTGTTAACCTTGCACCTCGAAATATCACTTTTATATCATTAATTATGCCATACCAGGGAGTTGTTATAACAACTCCCTGGCCATCCCATACACTACCCGAGTCATGTACCGCTCACCCACCTAGGCCCAGCCTGAGAACGCTAAGCCTAAGTTAGCTTAGCTAGGCCTAGACTAGTGAGTAGCCACCCCTCGCTCGATAAGCCTCTTGGGCATGAGGACTGTAACTGGCCTAAGCTAGGCCTAGCTAGCGGCCCTACGGCCTACCCTAGCCTACTACTACTAGGCCTAGCCATAGCTAGGGCTAGCCTACCCGGGCCTAAACCCATCCCAAGAGTAAAATTACAAGTGCTAATTTTAGCAGAGTTTCTTTTATTTTAAAAAATAAATGCATCCATAGATTTTTCGAAGAATACACGGAAAATACCTTTCAAAGAGAGCAAATGTTCCTTTTCTCGACCACCACTACCCTCCATTTTGTTGTTTTTGTACGTAACGTTACGTCACGTGTGTGACACCTTTGGCGACACCCCTTTTGGCTTCATCAAAATAATTGTCTATTGTACAATATATACTATAAAATTAAATAAAAAATTTATTCCAAGAAAACATAATAAGTAACAGTAATAATAATTAGAGAATAATATATGCACTGTTATATAAACTAATTATTTAAGTCTGTATTAAATGGATTAACTATACAGAGTCCTAGGCCTAGGCTAAAAGCCTATGAACTTTTTATGGTTTTGGTTTGTTTTGGTCTATAAACACGGCCACAGTGCTACCTTTGGCCACAGATAATGAGTAATTTGTCCGTGTCGATAGCCTAAGAAAGCAGTGTCGATAGTCAGTTTCCAGAGAACGAATGAATGTAGCTTAGGCTAGGCCCAGGCCTATGTTTGTTTGTTTGTTGTTTTTTTGGAATGCAAAGAATGGCCTCAATCTCAACAAAACATAACTATGAATGTGTGGCTGATAGAAAGCCAAAATCTAATGTAAGTATCGGTTAATATAGTCAAGCAGAAAATTAATTAAATGTAACTGCAACTATGAACTAGGCCTAGGCCCTTACCTTAGGCAATGTTTACGCGTGTTTAACACCCACCACCAGGCCTAGGCTAGCCTAAAAGCTAGCAGGCTGCAACCTTTGCCAATAGTCCCTAAACTACCCCAAGTTTGTAGTGCGCCCTCTGCCTTCAGTTTGTCAAAGCCGCGGAAGCCGTACACTGTCCTGTTGTATCCAACTAAAGACTAAAGTAAAGGCTATAATATTAATATATTATTAAATACTGTATAACGATGTTGTTTTTTTTTAGTGACGAAATCGGTAAATGTGTTTGAATGAAAAAATTAATGTTATTTACTGTGTGATGATTGAATATCATACATCAATACAGGCTTAGCAGTGGCGGATTTAGATGGTGGGGGGGGCGTACATCCCCCTCTATTTTTTTTGTAAAAAAATTGTTTTTGTAAAGCTTATCAGAAAATACCATGGCCATGCTAAGGGTAAGTGATAAAAATCAATCAAATATCAACTCAAATTAATGAAATTGCTAGAGTTTTAAGGGAGAATCTTCCCTTGTATCCCTACCAGGGGCTCTTTCCTGAGAGTCTCACTTAGTTCGGACATTCACGCCACCTCTTTCTTAACGGGCTGGATCTGCCCCTGCTTAGTTAGGCCTAGAAAAATGATTTAATAATTTTGATTAATGATTAAAAAAACTACATACAGTACTCTTGTAGGAAATTAAATAACGTTTAAAATAAAAAAGTGCCGTGGTAAGCTTGGGCTGACGCTGATTTCGGGTGCTGAAAGGTGAACTCACATTAACATACATTTAACCAGAATTGATAAATTTACTTGGCCGATAATGCAATTTTACAAAAGTATGACTGCATATGCTTTTATTTATTTCATGCAAGTATATCATTTACTGATTTGTTTACGGTTTACGTAAATATAACCACTTCCAATAATATAAAGTGACAGCATAACAGGTTTGTGCCAATCACTAAATTCCTATCCTTTATTATGGTTAAATAAGCTTTTACTAGTCCTAGCAATGCAAAGTATAAATCTGAGTGTGTTTTAATTTGTTTATTAACAATTTGCAACTCTAGGTGCTGGAATGTAGAGTATGTGATGATGTGTTTAGTCTTCAGGGCAAGAAAGTGCCTCGGCTTCTTCACTGTGGACATACTCTATGTCATGAATGTTTGACCAGACTTCCAGTTTATGGTGGGGCAGTGCTTTGTCCATTTGACCGGCAAGCAACTCAACTAACAGATTCAGGAGTTGCGGGCTTGAAGAAGAACTTTGCACTTATTGATCTCATTGAAAGATTGCACATTTCGAAAGAACAGTTTAATATCCTACGAGATACTTTACCGAATACTGCTACTGATAAGGTAAGAACAATTTTAGATTCACCATGATGAATGTAATCAGTATGCAATACCATTGTTATCATCGATATTGTCAATATTATTTTCATCCTCCTACTTTCTTATCATTATTGCTCTTTATTTTTCTTTTCCACCTTATCATATTTTCATAGAGTATAGTATTTCCACAACACCTTTTATTAGGATCATCAATCTTAGTGGCAGGTCCAGGAATTCCAAATAGAGGGGGTAGAGGAAGGGACTTGTAGATCAAGGGTTTAGTTTTAAAAGGGTTATTTTGCCAGTTGAATTCACCACTGAATCATATCAAATGTTTTAAAAGTCCTATTTCAACATACTGTACAATCGACATCATCAATATCATTTTCTTAGCCATCATTTGCAATTTATCTTTTTTTTTTCAAATGTTTTGTATGTAATTTTCTTCCATACCTCTTTGACACAGACTTGTATACAGTGTGATGAAAACGAAGAACATAAGGCTGTGATTTACTGCACTGTATGTAGCACTAATCTCTGTGCCCCATGTGCACTAAGTACGCACTCAACTCGGACACTAGCCAAGCACAAGCGTATCCCGTTATCTGAGAAGCCGCGGGAGCGGCCAGCATGCAACATTCACACGCCACACCTTGTCGAGTTCTCATGCTTAGAGCCGGAGTGCCAGTCCAACCCGTTGATGTGTTCACTTTGTAAAGATCACGGAATCCACAAATCACATAAGGTAATTACCAGAAGATTTATTTGTTTATTTATTTATTTATTCATTTATTTAGGCACACTACACATATGCAGCAATGATTGTCAATAGTGAATATATCACTGTCCTACTTGCAGTTGACAATGAATTTCTCAAGACAAACGTACACACACGATGCTTTACACAAACTAAATCACAATATGATGTTTAGGAAGTGGAGTTGCTCAGGTCGTGACAAAAAATCATGCAGCACTGACAGGAATTTATTATTGCATTACAGTTGCATTAGCCATCTCTTTCTGAAAGCACATGACCTCCATATTATAGATGCTAAAAATAATCTACCAGTTGATATGACTATGTTATTGCATTCAGTTGTATTAGCCATCTCTTTCTGAAAGCACATGAAATCCATATTATAGATGCTGAAAAATAATCTATCAGTTGATATGACTATGTTATTATGTGACATTAACGGTAATACCTAATAAATTTTAAATAAAATATATTTTCTTGATTACATTTTTAGTGTTCTGCTTTGAGCCAAGAGGCAAGTATGACGAGGATAACCATTAAGGAGACAGTGCTTCAGATCAGACCATTTATTGACGAGATTTCGGAGCTTATGCAAAAGCTAAGCACAACCATTGAAGAGATAGAAGGTGGTACACGTTTAGTGGAAGACCTGGATGGCATTGCCGAGCCTAGACATGTGAGGCACACATTTGTTGTTGAAATATGTGTTTAATTTATTTAAATTTATTTAAATCTTACAGTTACTGTAATCACCTCCATGGCCTAAATGCTGTAATGATGCCAATAATTTGTCAGTATAACCATGGAGGTATGGTATAACAGCCTTTAGTATAATATAGCCACCAATATAATTGTTGGTGGTTATATTACAAATAATATAACCACCAACAATTATGTTAAGAAATATTTTACAGATGTTAATGCAATACCTATCTCTACAGATTCCAGGGACAGCTGAGATTGTTAGGTCCCGTGTACGTCAACATTTTCAGGAACTCCATGAAACTCTGCAACGGCAAGAGGATGTTGCACAAAGTGTCATTGATTCGCACCTACGTGAACGATTGTATGTTTTGCGACACCAGCAAGAAGCGTTCTCAAATATGATGTCACAAGTAACCACAATTTGCCTTCAGTGTGACAGGGCATTGCAATATGTAAGTATATTAGAGCAGCTTAGCCAGTCGGTTAAACTGGTGGTAGCCACTGTGTGTGCGCTGAACCGTGGAGATGTGTGGTTAGATCTCTCGGATAATTCTATCAGCTGCTCTCCTTGTGTTTCAGCAGGAGGGCTAAAATACAAAAATACAAATCTCAAATTATTTTGGTGTTTTGTAACCTTTGTTATATTTTGTTTTTGAAGGGCAATGCTATGGTCTTCCATGCAAGGACAGAAATTAATAAACTCCTTGTTCTTTTCGTTTTTGAAGGATAACGCTAGGGTCCTACTAGCAAGGACAGAAATTAACAAACTTTTGGAATCTTTGCGAATTCATCAACAGCAGTTCAATGAACTTTCACAGAACACTCAGCTCAGTCCTGGAATTCCTATTACATTCACAAAGGTACGTTTTGAAAAAACTGTTGATAGTAATCAATAAAGGCTGAAATTTTGAGAATCATGGTTTCTCTTTTTATTGGGACTTAACGCAATATGCAATATATATGTAATTATACTAACATTTCCGTAACAAATATATTTATTGCACAGTGCATTTTGCTTGCGGTTACAGAGCACTTGAGAAAACTCATTTCCACAACTCTGTAGATTCCGAAGGAGGTGTACTATCTGTTTTGGTGACAATCGGCATGTAAACCTAGTCTATGACCGGGGCTGGATCCCCCTGCTCCACTCACAGGACACCCTGGGTTCTTTTGAAGTGTGTATAGCAGACCTACAGTTTATAATCAGTATCCAAAAGACTTGAACCATGAGTGAGGAGGGTCTTGTATCCACCCTGATATAAGCCTCTGTGTTAAAATGTCAGTTAAAATACATTACTGCTCGGGCACTCGACTTGGTCTTCTACTAACAGTAGAGCAATTAAATTGATGTACAACAGATTTCTTAATCAAATTTTTTTTATTGATAGGATAATCGTGTTCACATTGGGCCTAAGATGGAAATGAGAGTTGTGGTATTAGGTTTGGATAATGCGGGCAAGACGAGTATCTTATTCAAACTGAAGCAGAATGAATTCATTCAGACAATACCAACAATAGGTAAAGCCCTGTCCAGTCTATCAAATTCTATTTGACAAAAAGCTGTTGTATGCCCATATGTAATCATCATTGCCTTTTGGTGATGATGTGATGTCATCATGACCATAATTATTATTATTAAGTCATTTCACATTTTTTTCTCAAATAAATTTGATAGTCTGGACAGGGCATAGGACTCAGTGGTATTGTTCACATCATAACCTGTTCACAAACTAATTATTTTGGAATTACTTTATGTATTCACACCAGCACAAAGCATGATAAATATATTGTGATTATTAATGTGTTCTCAATTGTTATTGTTTATTTGAATTTATTGCAGGCTTCAATGTTGAAACAGTGGAGTATCGCAATCTGAACTTCACCATTTGGGATGTAGGTGGCGATCCTAAACTCAGGCCATTATGGAAGCACTACTACCTCAATACACAAGGTATGGTAGGATACCATCTCTCTGTCCTGTTAATAGATGGTGAAATATTTAGTATTAATAAAAATAATGAGTAATGATGATAATAGTAATAAATTTAGTAATAACAAAGAGTATAAGAAGGGCAAGGGAGCATTAATCCCATGTGTAAATACATCACTCCTCTAGTTATGTTAGAAGATGCTGTTGTCGTCATAGAGTGTACCCACTATGTATGTGTTTACAGTGGAGGTGCGCCCTCTTATGATGATAAAGGAAAAAAAATGAATCTATCGCCCTCTATATGAAAGTACTGTATCAAGTGAAAAACAGATAAACAAATGTCGCTGTGTTAGTACTGGGTAATAAAGAGCATACAAACAGCATTTTACATCCTCCTCCAATAGCTGCATAGGCTACGTAGAGGGCGTATTGTTTGCGCTCCAAAAAAACATACCGTGTAGTCTTGCCCTTTCTATACCCTTTTTGTAATCATAAAATGTAATTGACCAAAAGTTATTTTAAAAATGAAAGAAAATATTAATACTAGCTATATTTTTTGTGTTGCATTTTTATTCCTGGTACTATAATATTTGCATTTATTGTGAATTGTAAAAAAAAAAAGAGAGATTTTAACCAAATGAATGAAATCATGTGTGAGGTCTCACTACAAAATGAGTCTCATCGTTAGATAATCAGAAAATGAGTTTTTTTTTTAGTAGTAGATCACATTATAAGCTTTAATTTGGTCTTTGAGTGGCTTCCCTAGGATAAATAGATCCAGAGATGTTAGCATTTAAAGTTTAAGTGTATGATAACCAGGTTTTGAGAAAATCGGCCTCAAAGATAAACTAACCTGTACAAATAATAGGACTAGAATTACAGAATATGCGAAAAGAACACTATTTTAGTAAGAAAATTCACTTAAGAAGTACACAATCATAAAATATAAGTATCAAGTTATTCAAAAACATTAAAATCAAAAATTTTGTAAAAATGTTAACTTTGACCTACTTTGGTGAATATCTCAATATGATTTCACCAACGATGCGTCTATTTCGTGGTGAGATCTCACACCTTATTTGTTTATCTCAATCAATAGCTGTAGTATTTGTTGTGGACAGCTGTGATTCAGAGCGCATAGAGGAAGCGTACGATGAGCTGGCTGCCCTCATGTCCGAGAAACAACTTAGAGATGCAGTGGTGCTTGTTTTTGCTAATAAACAGGTAGATATAAAAATACTTTACTATGGCCTATCAGTAGCTGCTCCAGATATTTTCTAAGAGAGGGTCCAACAAGATAAAAAGAGGGGGAGGGGAGGGGTCCACACCATCGGCTGCTTAAAATTCTTTGGTCAAGGGCCTTTAATAAAACCTCTAATGCAGTTTAAGGAAGCGAGATTTTATGGTTTATGAGGTAAATATTGTGCCTTTAGGTCATAAAATTTGTAAGAACTTTGGTTGGATTGGCATATTAACATGACAGGGTTCATTCTTTTCCGACTGGTCTACCGAATGACCTATGTACTAGCAAAACCCCTTGGCGGTATTATAATATCTACTGTAAATGGGCATACACTATTTTATATCTGAATGTCATGGCCTTTGTTATAGAATCCCTTTTTTATGTAATAGACCTCTCTGGGAGTGTCAATCAAACTTAACAACTGGCCAATCAGAACAAGACCTGGATTATGTTTGTTTCTAACATGCACACGCGTTGTCCCACAAATGCACGTTTGTGTATGTTTTTACACTGTTGTTTTGTGGGACCTGAGCAACAACGTGAAAGGGGCAGGGCGCTTAGCAGACAAGTTCATTAGATAGCATGATCCCCCTGGTTTTTCTTATTCACATTGTTATCTTTATCAAACTTATGTATAGTAAAATTATAATTTTGTACTTTGAAGGATATTTCTGGAGCCATCGGTATCGACGTCATCTCCGAACGACTCTCACTACACAAGCTGTGTTTTGGACGTAGTTGGTTCATCCAGCCATGTGATGCTCAAAGTGGCACAGGCCTTAAGGATGGTTTAGAGTGGCTCTCGAGGCAGCTGGTTGCTGCTGGGGTAATGGATATAGCATAATATATATATAGCTGTAGATTGTATATGATATTCTGTCATGGCTTGATGTAACTACTAGTGTTTTATATCTTTAGTACAAGTTTACCAGAGTGCCATTTTTTTTTTTATTGTACCAGTTGACGGTACTAGTTACATAAAACCTTGGTATGAATTTACTGAGATGCCGACATGTTATGGTACCAATTATTGGTAATAGTGTATTAGTCCTTGGTACAAGTTGACTACTGTACCTGTTAGGTGTGGTACTAGTTAACACTACTAGTAAGCGTAAAAGTCCATGGTGTGAATTGACTAGGTTGCCTGTTAAGTAGGGTAGTTAATGCTACTAGTGTAAAAGTCCTTGGTATGCGAGTCCACTAAGATCCTTTTTATGAAACCATCCCAGCTTCATAGATATGTGTAACACAAAATACAAAGTAGTCAACCTATCATTCCCATATGACATGCTCAGGTCATATAAGCCTGTATTTATCTATGAATATAGGAAATATACATCCTGATCTTGCGTGCATTGATTGAGTTGCAACATTTCTTTCTACTTACGCCTACTAACAGTTAGAATGTACAGTATAGGTCATTATGACATCATCATGTGGGAATTCCCCTTATGACATCATTACTGTTGTTCACCTTATCAACTTCATATTGTGCAATGTTGGGTGGCAACCGTTAACCAGCCTTCAGTATTTTCAGTAAGTTACTGTATACTAAAACTTGATGATTCTATTTATTTTTACTCTAAATTAGCTTCATCATCTACCATTTGTGTTGCAAATATAATTTGCTTTCACCAATTTGTGTTTCATTTTGAGACCCATGTTTGACTTGTAAACTTTCATGACTGTACAAAACATTTGTTGAATATATACACTGCCAATTGTAAATAATATAAAAAGAGTGAATGTTATTCTTCTTCATGAGGATTACAATATAAAAAAGATGTAAAATAGATGATAGTGACCTATAACAGGTCACTACATAATGGGAGATTTTGATTTGAAGCAACATAGAACTAATGGCGTCATGTTAATTTAACTGTGCATGTGTGAACGTTGTGCATTTACATTCTCCTAAAATCTGCATTGGTTGTTGGCTGAATCTACATCTAGGCCAACAAGGACTATACTGTAATGTATCAAACAATTGGTGCATCAATCTTTTGTGTTTGTGATATATCCGCATACGTGTTGTAAAAAATTGATTTAAAGTAAAACGTAGAATGTATGCAACGGCAGTCAAGAATGCTCCGAAACGTTCTGACATCTAAAACAAAAAATGGTACTAATTTTGGCCATTTCAAGCATTACAGAGACATTTTAGAATGCATTCCATTATCCCAAAAGAGTTAAAATTGGATTGAAAAAAAAATGTTGCCTTCTTTTGTCCGATGGGTTGTGTCCAAGATGTGGTTGGGGTGGGGAGAGCAAGATGGCTTGTCCACCTGCTGGGGTAGCAAGAACCATAACATTTTTTATATTGAATGTTTTTTAAGAACAGCATTTTTGTGAATTTTAAATGTAGAGAAATTTTGTAATAATTCTTCCTTGTTTAGTTACTTCCATTTATTAACTACATATCCTTGTGACTAAAGTTTATCTCTTTAAATTATCACCCACAAAGAACTTATTTTAAAGAAATAATTTTACATTTTGTATTTGATCTTTTTTCTAACAATCAATATTTTTCAATGCGTTGCAGAAATATAAACATTGTGATTCTAGTTTGAGGTTTAAATCAATATATTATATGAAAGATGAGGATTAATGACAAATAGAATTGTGAAGCAGTTGTTAGTTTTTGAACTTTTCTACATTTTAATGATGATAATAATTTTGATGTGTGTGTTTTTTGATGATAAGAACAAGTGTACAGTATCTTCAATATAATTATTGATAAAGATACTGGAATCATTTGGTGGCTTTAGGATATACTTTTAAGCTGTCTGACAGGGGGCCTGAATATTTTGTGGAGGTTTTCTAGATTATGAAGATTCCGTTGGGATCGGACAGAAATATGAATGAAATTTAAGGATGAGAAATGTATTTCCTAGCTTTGTACATATGTAATGCTGATCATTTTATTGTTGTGTTGTTTACATGTTTGAAACAAGTAAAAATATTTAAAACAGTATTTAATCTAAATTTTGTTAAATTATTATACATATTTGAATATCTGTATCACATAAATGAAATGCAATTATTGCCAAAATATCGGTGACTATTTAAATATATTTAATATTCATAATCTATGATGATAAAGATGATTATTATAGTGTTTGTTTTGTACTGTATATAGTGAGATGCTTCTCTGTAAAACAAAAGCTTCATTAAAGCCTGTCTTCTCAGCATGTGTTCAAACTAGCAGTCATTCTTAAAATAATTTCACTATTGGTACACAATAACTTTTCTCATAATAAGCGATTTATTCTTCAAAATTGTCAAAAATTTATTATTTACAGAAATAAATATGCTGCAATAAGAGCAGGCTTATCATTTATATGGTTTACCAAAAACTGTGGTTTCATTTTTGTTAAAATTCTACAATATTTGAGTATACAATTAAACTTGCCTAAGTTGACTTTGCATATTAAACTCAAATAATTTCTAAGTCGATTTTATTTTACATGCCAAATTGTTATTTTCCATTAATCTGTAAGTCAGATTTTATCTAAGTCGAACAATTTTTGCAATGCAATTTTGCATTCAACTTACGACAAGTTCAACTGTATTATTATACATTTTTCTCACCATTTAATTAAAATATTCCCCCACACTTTCTACATTCTATGTAAACATGACAGGGTAATTACTGTATGAACACAACATATCTCAAATGTTACTGGACCTGTTGTACATCACCATAGATCTTAGATATGGTGAATAGGTAAGTATAAAAACCATACCATCACATCCAGACATTTTCCCCTTTCAACACCTCACTGGCGCCACCAGTGATCCTATCTTGAGGTCATCCGTCTTTTGGAATTTCCACTTTGAGTACAAAACAAACTAGTGTGTTTGTGACCTCTTTTAAACAATAACAATAATATGCTGAATATTTACATTTCTGGAAAACACAGATTTGTTAGACTGCAGAGAGCTCCACTGTAAATCTTTGAAAGGTACCATCTTCTGACTTCCTCAGATCACCAATCACATCTTCTTCACTAAAAAAGAATATTGAAATTCATTCAAATTCAGCATAATGACGCTGCAAGTTATGGGCTATTCTCCTAACTTTACCTACTTTAAATCTTATAGACTTACTGTAGGTGCTATGAAATTAACAATTATGAATAGTTATATATTTTTATAATCATCACAAAAATGACTAAAATCTTTACTAATATCATCATTGCCACAATCTACTTACAACCATCATCATCATCATTGTGAAATTAACAATTATGAATAGTTATATATTTTTATAATCATCACAAAAATGACTAAAATCTTTACTAATATCATCATTGCCACAATCTACTTACAACCATCATCATCATCATCATCATTGTGAAATTAACAATTATGAATAGTTATATATTTTTATAATCATCACAAAAATGACTAAAATCTTTACTAATATCATCATTGCCACAATCTACTTACAACCATCATCATCATCATCATCATCATCATCATTGTTACCCAAATCAAATCATCATTACTGTTATCAACACTGTCATCTTTATAATCAGAGTATTAGGCCAAAAAACATTAATTGTTTGCCCTTCGTTTTTTTTTAAACGTTTTTTTTAAATGATAAATTGGGGCGGGTGGAAAAAGGTTTTTTTTAAAATACTCATCAGATGGAATAAAAATAACCCACAGAGGCCTAGAATGGCAATATCTTACATCAGACAACTTTAGACTAATATGTAGGGCATCTGGCAAGAAATTAAGATAAATTCACTCACATTTTTTTAATTTGTAAAGAAAAATGCTTTAAAAAAATCTTTCAAATTTTTTTTTGTTTTTCTTCCGCTATTTTTTCAGTGAGTTAGGGGCAGGTGGAGTAGAGCAAACAAAAAATTTTTTTGGCCTTAATACCAACATCTTATGGTTTGTTATGTTGTTTGTTGTATTTTTGCAAATTTCAACTGTATATCTTTGTATTTTTTATTATAAGAAACCAAATATAATCAATCGCTCATTGTCATCATCAACAGTCATGTTGCAATACTGTACTGTAGAATCATGTTAAATCTTAATCGTACACAAGTTCATTTTCTCCGAAGCTGATGTGGATGTTAGAGGCTGGCATGATAAGTCTAACAGCAACTCTTTTCTTAAGTGTTTCAACATTATCAGAATCCTTCAACTTAAAGCTGAAACAAAAACAAGAAATGAAATTTTAATTATCTTGAAAATCATCACAGCCAAACTGATATTAATTGTTAAATAATATTTTAATATTTAAATTATAATTATTAATTATATATATAATTTATTTTGTTTGTTGTCTTGTTTTTATTCCGTTTATATTGTAAATTCAGATGATTTTCAACATTTTTATGTTGCCTTCTGAGTGTTTTTATACCAATAAATGAAAACAAAAAGTAAAAAACTTTTCTGGATTGTCAATCAATCTTAACAACTGACCAAAACAGACCTGCCAATCCTTGGGTCATGAAAATCTGGAGATTTTTTCAAGAATCTTAAAAAAAATCTGGAGATTTACCAAAAAAAAAAAAGTTTCCAGAGTTAACCAAAAGATGATGCAAGATACCAAAAAAAGTCACGTCACTACAAATCATTGGCTGTTGGTGGCAACATTCGAATTGGAAATGGCTGCTTGTTTATTGCACCGTGAAGCGAGCAGGCGCCAAATACATTGAATAATAATGATCAAATCAATCAAATTATGCATAAATTGGAGTATTTTTGGGGATGGGGTGGCCTGTGAAATCGGGTGAAAATTACATTTGATCGGGAGAACTGGAGATTTGTTTAAATATCGGGTGACACCCGACAGGATCGGGTGAGTTGGCAGGTCTGCCAAAACAACTAACCAATCAGAACATTGCTAAGAACATGCGTTTGTCTCACACTCACACATGTGTTTGACAAATGCATGTGTTTACATAAACCGCTATCTTTTTATGGGACCATAGCAACAATATCCAAGGGGCGGTGCTTAGCGGAAAGGTCCATTTTCAGGATCTGAACCAAAGACCCTGAATTGAAGAAAAAACAGGCATTTTAACCACCAAGCTACAGGTACACAAGATACAGGGGATTGATTGGAATAAAGAGGAAGGTGACCCTAACCTCATCTTGGCAGCATCGACCTCACTGCTCATCACATCTTCTGTTTCGTCATCAGAATCTGAGAGCTCATCATCTACATTCATGAAAATAAATGTTATAACACAAAAAACAACATTTGCATGTTGGAATACTATAACAAGAGTAACAAATAAAATTTTAATTGAAATAAATCTTTGTCCACACTGTCAAACTTCATGTGATTAATGTGATATGGCCTTAGGGTGTAATGTGACATCATCGTGCCCATATATGGGCACATCACATAAATTTGTTACATACATTTTGACTGTGGACAAAGCTTTAGCAACCAATGCAATTTAAAACACAAGTTGAATGGCCGAGCGGTTAAAGCAGGAGCACCGCAACGTCCAGCGATAATATCGGCACTGGTCGAATGGTACACTCATCTGTGGTTCTGGTGGTGGAACAAGTCTTCTCGGATAAGGACTAACCATAGGCCCAGTGTACATAATCTGGCTCATGTGAACCCAGTGCATCTTTTGAAACGAGTAGGGGGTTACCCCAGTGGCGTATCTAGGAGTCTTGAAATAGGGGAGCTGATGGGAGAGCACAAAGGTCATGTGGGAGGCTCAATGATTAGATCACAGGCGGGCAAAAATGTGGCCAGACAGCAAATTTTTTGCGGCCTGCGATAATGAATTAAAACCCTATGTGTGCGGCCCGCCAAGCAACAATGGCTAGAAAACACCTTGTTTTTTACTGCCTGACACTGATTATATGTAAAAAGTAACATTAAAACTGAGAATAAGGTGGTGTAAAAGCAGTGCTTTGAGGTTATCGGAAGCTCAATGGAAACATCAAAGTTTGGGTGCGGGCCTCAGTGTTAAATCAAAAATTCACTTTGGCACTCTGACCAATTTTTATGCCCACCCCTGGATGATGGGCTCTAACTCGTAAAATAAGATAATTTTAGGTGATTTTTTTAACTACTTGAGCATGATTACCCCCTAGATACGCCACTGGTTACCCCGGTGTACTGGTCCATACAGCCCCTGTTGTGGACAGAAGAGAGTAGCTGGATTCAATTTACTGTGTAGCTCAAACATGAAGAGACCCTTAGGGGAGAAGCAAATTACTGTATGAGCTAGTCCATGACACCTCGAGCACTTTGAGACTTCGGTAAAAAGCGCTATATAAATCTAACTACATTACATTACAAATTGTAAATACAAATAAACAGTTTAATACCTTGTGACACAAATGTTAGATCATAGTAAATATGATTGGACTTCCTATAAGAGCTAGGCCAGACATATCCTTTTCCCTTTGGTTTATACTGAGTCTTGATTAAGTGTCTGCCATCAGTTGAGTTCATACCAATACCATAGCAGTAATATAACTTCTTTCCTTTGGCCTTCAGTGGAGCTTTGTTGATGTACTTAAATTTGAATTTATCTTCAGAATTTACACTTGCAGCTAAAAGATTCATAAAAAAATGTTCATAAATTAAGGCATCCTTTAATAGGCATGTGATTGCTGTTGGACGTGCTTTTTGAAATAAATAAATAAATATTGAAATATAATTTAGTAAAATAAATAATAAAATCATTATTTATTTATGTTTGTACAAAATCATTTTAAAGATTAAATTCATTTAAAATTTGTGATACTATTTTTTTTTAAAATTATTTAATGAATTAAGTTACTCAAATAAAGCTTAACACAGAAAGTATAATAATAATGGGGCTGTTCCAGTGACAAAGAGTAGAACTTTGTTACAAATAGAATTGTAAAATTTAAGTGTTGTTTGTCATGGAAGCCAGTAACAGTAGTTTATCATTAATTATGGCTTGAAGAATGTATGCATTAATGTTAACCTTCACTGTAATCATCCAGTCGTGCATGGTAAAAGTAACCTTTCTTGTTTTTTGGATCGCTGAGAATCACTTTATTTTTTAAATTTTCCTCTCCCTGTCGGTATCGTACTGTTCCATGTCCCAGATCAAGTAGTGCTGGTGCATCAATAACCATAGGCTGAAAAAACATACAGAATAAATCATTTATTTGCTCACATACTGTTTACCAATTGTTTAACCAGTGTTTATATTATGATGGGGTGAGATAATAACAGTGTTCAAATCTTTATTTTACCATGACCAAGTCTTGTACATTTTAATATGCAGTATTATTAGGCCATTAAAAAAAAAAACTTAGTTAGGCTTTTCTTTTTCCATCTTGATTTCAGAGGTCAAAAACATTTTTCAATTGGAAAATTGTTTTGGATACCACACGCCCCATTATTATGGAGTTATGATTTTTTAAATAACATGATGTCAGAAAATTAGCCCAAAAGCTTATCTTATTTCTGTTGGTTACGCACTGTTGATTTGCAATGTTTGTCATTACTTTAAGATGTCTACCGATTCGTGAAAAAAGGATTACTTTTATTAGCTAGGCCTAGGATACTACCTAAAGGGGATGACTGCCCAACAAATGACCTTTTTCTCCCATTCCCTTATCATGAAAAAACTGGGCTAACCGTTTCTCCTTTTTTAGCTTGTTTTTCAACAAAATCTACTCGTGGACTAAGCGGCATTCCGACAGCTGGTCCTTTGGTCACCCCTGAACCCATCTTCGCCACAAATCTAGTATATTTCAGGACACAAAATAACAGAATAATGTTGGAAAATCCGTGGAAAACTCATCATAATACCCTCCTACCACACAAACAGCAGTGTTTACAATCACCATCTGACGTCAAAGGATATTTTGCAAACAAACTGATGGTGGCGCTAGATATAAAATTCCCGCTGCACAGGCGCCGCCATGGCCAGTCGTCCGAGTTTTGACTTGGAACGTCGATCGTGTGGGTCTAAACACAACCAAACTAATATTAATTACTAGGCCTACTGTTGGTCGTTCCCCAATAAATGATTGTCTGATGGATGCAAATACAAATAAAACAGGTATTAAGGGATTTAACCCTTAAATGTCCAGTTACTTATCCAGCCAGTTTAGGTTAGGGGTAATTTTATAGACTAGGGCCTAGGCTAGGCCTGGGCCCTATCTGTGTATATGAATTTTTAGGTCGGATAGGCTAGCGTACGGCCTTGGTCCGGTGAAACTAAAACTGCCTAGGCTTAGCTGGACCTAGACATATACCTAACTATAGTAGACAACATAGGGCTCACGCTAGTAGGCTGTTTGATCTTGATCTTGATAGAGTAATTGAAAAACTCCGGCTGGAGCATCACTCAATGTTTGGATAGTGGCGACAAAGGAGGGACTAGGCGTAGTCGGAGTTACCAATGTCACTTGCAAAAGGCAGTGGAATTATTGATTGAAGTAGAAGAAAAAGGGAGGGCATTCCAGTCTTAAGCTGTGTTGGGGAAAAAAGAATAAAGAAAGCGATTTGTCTTGGCCTTCGGTATCTTTAATGAAAGTGGGTTATGGTTCCTAGTGCACCTAGCAGCAGTTGCTCGTCTGTTGAATTCTAGGTTTAACAGAGACATTTTCATAGAGATACATACTGCCTATTATTATTATCATTAGTCAGGCTAGGCCTAGCTAGGTCCTCAGCAGGAGCCTAGGCCTAATACTATAGGCACTACTTAATAAGTAGTAAAGTATACCCTCCTAGGGGGCTCGACATACTACCAGCGGGAGCAGGTCAAAACGGCAAAAAACCAAAACGGCAATAAACCAAAATGGCAATGATAAGTACCAAAACGGCAATGAAAACGGCAATAGGCATAGACCAAAACGGCAAAGGAGCAAATCAATGGCATGAATGAAGCGCCACCGGGCGCGGGCAGCAGTTTGAATCGTGTTTTGTTTTCTGTTAATGTTTTTTTTTTTTTTTTACACATCCATGACTAGGCCTATGGTATTTTAAAATGTTATTTATTATTATTATTATTATTTTTTCTTTCCTGTTTTTTAACTTTCATGGCATAATATTGTTTAGCTCATTTTATCTGTATTTCAAGGTTTTAATCATTTAAATGTTCACTGCTTTTATATTTTATATTACATTGTGTTTCCTAATCTTTTTACTAATGAATTGTATTGTATGTTATTTTTATTATTATTATTATTACTATTATTATTATTATTAATGTTGTTGTTATATATAGTGTTATTTATTATTATTTTTTCTTTCGCGCATTTTTACTTTTATGACATAAATTGAATTTTTATGTTAAATATTATTATTATTATTATTACCATTATTATCATTATTTATTATTATTATTGTTGTTCTTTATAGTGTTTTTTTTTTCTTTCCCGCTTTTTAACTTTTGACATAAATTCTGGAAGTGTTGCCATTTTGGTTTATTGCCGTTTTGACTTAGGTCTATAGCCCTTTTGATCTTGCCGTTTTGACTTATTGCCGTTCTGGTTGAAAAGTGTTGCCGTTTTGGTTTTTTGGCGTTTTGGTCATTGCCGTTTTGACTTATTGCCGTTTTGGTTTTTTGCCGTTCTGTCCAGAAACCTACCATAATAACAATAATAATAATAATAAATCCCTCATAATACATAAAAACAAAAATGAATATAGAAAATTACGTCAGAAAATCAGATTTGGTGAGCACTATACAATTTTAACTTCACTTAGCGCCACCGGGCGCGGGCAGCAGTTTGAATTGTGTTTTGTTTTCTGTTAATGTTTTTTTTTTTTTTTTACACATCCATGACTAGGCCTATGTTATTTTAAAATGTTATTTATTATTATTATTATTATTTTTTCTTTCCTGTTTTTTAACTTTCATGGCATAATATTGTTTAGCCTCATTTTACAGTATCTGTATTTTAAGGTTTTAATTATTTTGTATTTTATATATTACATTGTGTTCTCCAATCTTTTTACTATTGAATTGTATTGTATTATGTTGTTGTTGTTGTTATTAAATATCATCATCATCATTATTATTATTACCATTATTATCATTATTTATTATTATTATTATTATTAATGTTGTTCTTTAAGGTGTTTTTTTTTTCTTTCGTGCTTTTTTACTTATGACATAATTTCTGGAAGTGTTGCCATTTTGGTTTATTGCTGTTTTGACTTAGGCCTATTGCCCTTTTTGTCTTACCGTTTTTGACTTATTGCCATTTTGACTTATTGCCATTCTGGTTGAAAAGTGTTGCTGTTTTGGTTTTTTTATGTTTTGGTCATTGTCGTTTTGACTTATTGCTGTTTTGGTTTTTTGTCGTTCTGTCCAGAAACCCTACTACCAACTACTAAGCCTAGGAAGGCTCCACTACTAGTAATAGGTAGTTCTACATCCCTACATGTATGAATGATAACACAGTAGGCGGAATATATCAATAAATATGGCTTTAAGCTGTAATTTGTATGAAAGTATTGAAATAATAATTAACAACACAGCCAATTGGCCCTCTGTGTAAACTAGTATGTGGACAGCTTAATATTTTTTAAGTTAGTTTTTTTTTTTTTTTTTCATTGTTCTGCAGCTCAGAAGAGAAAACGAGATGAAGAGGAGAGTACAACTAAATATGCAGTGAAAGAAGGCATGTCATGGTGGAGCTGTTTGCAGCTTGACATGTCATACGAAAATACTAAACCAAGGCTTGTACCCGTCCAGCCGGGTCAGCAAAATCAGAAGTAAACAATGTCGTGTTCATTCATTTTACGGTTAACAAAACAGTAGGAAGTTATCGGCCTACCTAAATTTGGATCAATATTGCCTATTTTTTATGCAGCTATTTTCTGTCAAAATAACATGTAAACTGTTTTATACTGTATTCAGATTTTATATAACATACTGTAAATAATAGATTGAATTTGAACTTATTTCTATGGATTCATCAATTTACCTGGAGGGAGATATTACTGTTTGTGAGGATTGTCAAGTTGAAAAACCATCTGAACCCCTTCAAAGTGATTGTTGCGGAACTGGCTGCACTCCGTGTGTATTTGATCTTTATGAAGAAGATTTGCGAAACTGGAGAAAACACTGCTTTGATAATCACCAAGGAGGAAACCTTGGCAGCACAGTGGTGAGGAAAACACTCAAATGCATATTCATTGAATCAGCTCAGTATTTAAATTTGTTTTAAGTTGTTTATTCAATCTTCAAGTAGATATCACAGCCTTGAGAGATGTATCATTGTTTTTCAAATGATGATGACAATGATGATGATGATGATGATGATGAGGATGAAGAAGATGATGATGAAGAAGAGGAGGAATATAATGAGAGGATGCTCATATTATTGTCAAATTTCTTATTTGCCCATATTTGGGAATGATGATGTCATATAATTATAACATCCTTTATAATTATGGGAAAGGTATTTGTCACATAAAAAACATGATAGGGGCATTTACACACCAGGAACAAGTAGTGAAAATAATAATGTCTCATATGTTAACTTTAAAAATATTTCTTTATATAATAGATGTGGTAAACTTTAGTACTCAAATTCCTTTGGTATGAGCACACAAAAGTGAGGGGTTGTGCTTATACCTGGGGTTGGTGTAACTATGGTAGATAGGTACTGAATAGTTAAATAGATTAGGTTGTTTAAACTCTTCATTTTCCTTTTATATTAGAGCGATGTGTTGCCTGTCCTGACCCCTTCAGCTTTTACCAAATTTGAACTTGTAAAGATCACAGCCTTATCGGAGGATACAAACTTGTATAGATTCAAAATCCCAGACTGCAGAAGCTTGGGCCTCTCTGTAGGACGACATATTGTTCTAAGGTATGAAGGACCAGAATTTTTATGCTTTTTCTGTTGGTGCTTATTAGCTCATAAAATTTGAGAAACATTTAACTCATTTTTTGATCATTAAGAATTAAGTAAAAAAATAAAAAGCACATTACTCAACCAAAAATGTTTGAGTACCAATGTCCCAAAGATGGGGTAGATGAAGAATGCTACATTGCTATTCGCTATTTTTCAGAGGGAAGCATGAGGGACGAAACATCACCAGGCAATACACACCAGTCAGCCCTCTACTTTCAAGAGGCTTCTTTGATGTTTTCATAAAGGTAGCACAATTAACAGTCATACACTATTCATTTTCTTTTCCCCAGTTTCATACACTAATTTACAAGAGGAGGGAGGGTCGTGACGGTACATACATCTCCCCTGAAAAATATACTAGCTGCCCAGGCACCTCCCCCACTAAAAATTTTGAAAAAAATTATTACACTGAAGTTGTTAAAAATCACATAGTTTTCACCTTGTTTTTTCTACCTGGTACCCTCTCACTTAATCCTATGGGCCCCTCCCCTCACTTTGGTAAACTCCATCATAGCTACAGCAATGTCCATTAATTTAAGCTTGTGGAATATGCATTGATTCAACACAACTGTGTCCGAAAAATTTTACATCAGTTTCATGTCTGTTTTTTCAGATTTATCCAAATGGTCCAATGTCACAATATATAAAGCGCTGGGAGGTTGGGCAATTGATGGAATGGCGTGGCCCGTATGGGCATTTCACCTACACTCTTAACAAGGTAAATATAATTAATTATTACAGTATACTCACCATGGAAACCATTCTCTAATGCTGTGTTCTCTCTTTAGTCATCATTACCTTCCACATCTTCATTATCATCAATGTCAGTCATTCTCATTTCAATCTTCACTTGTGTTTGTGCGAAGGACATGTGTGTATTAAAATTACCTTTTATTTTAATTGTGATGTTTAAACAATTAGTTTTTGTGTACAGAATTGCTCTTTATATAATAACTCTGCATTAGTGGTTTTTCTTCTGCTTTTTATGCTGTTAGTGCTAAATACCTTTTTTTTTGTTTTTTTAATAATATTTTCTATTATCTGCTATATATAATATTATTAAAATCGTTATGATTTCAGTTTCTTTACTGGGCATCAGCAACACAATATTTTGGCCTTATCATGGTTACAGTATCTTCCTCTGCTCTTCTGAATTGGCCATTTCTTTTTGTTTTTATGATCATCACCATCTTCATGATTATCATCATCATAATCATCTTCTATATTCTCATTATCAGCATCATTATCATCACCCTCGCCATCATCAGTATCATCATCGTTATACCAGAGATGACTTAAAGTTTGTTTTACAAACTTACTTTGGCCTCCTACCGCACACATTTTTCTCTGATTTTTTAAATTTGTTTTAAAAATTTAATCGTAACCTTTAATTAAGTTACATGTACGTGTGTGGTAAAATCGATAAAACAAACAAACCACGAACTATTAAACCAGTTTTTTTTTTTCAAAATACATATTTTTATTTTATTAAATTTACTCACAGTGCAAACCTTATTTGCTTGTCCTCATCAACATCATTTAAATATTCGTAATTTTTTTGCAGTACAAACATTTAGTTCTACTAGCTGCAGGAACTGGACTAGCCCCAATGCTGCAAGTTATTCAGCACATAGTGAACAATGATGAAGAAGACACAACTGTTCAACTGATTTATGCTAGTAAAATGTACAAGGATGTACTCATGAAGTCAATGCTAGATGAATTAGGGTCTTACTGGAATGTCACCATCATATATGTGTTAAGCAAGGTATGTCTTCTATAAATTTATTATGAACTTTCTCCACAGGAGATCCATGAGGTCTAAGAATGTTAGTGTTACAGTCAAGATGGATGTTGGTGATGATAGATAAAGTTAATTAGATCATAAAATGATAATAAAGGTGATTTTTGTGATAATGCAATATTGATGGTTGATTTGAAAATATGAAGATAATGGTAATGAAGATGATATTATGATCAATAAATGATAGTGAATGGTGGTAGTGATGAGGAGGAAGAAGATGATGATGATGATTGATGATGATACTATAAAGATGATGAAAATGAAGTCTATGATGATAAACTTTACTGCAATGAAAAATAGGATGATAATGATGGTGATGATAATGATAACTTTGATAATGATGCTGTCGCTGATGATGATAATGATAATGATGACTGTAATGATAAGAATAAAGTAAAAAATGGCCGTAGATTTTGAATTGGTCGAGCTTGTGCTACATGAACATTTTGTTTTTTGGTCTCATGGAGAAAAGGAGTTTGGATTGGAGTGATTTAGATTTTATAGAAATACAATGTTGCTTTTCTCATTTTCTAATCATATCATTGGCTTTTTCTCCTACGATGTAAAGCCTTTGAGGTTTTTTTGTTCCTTTTTCCTATGTTTTTCTACCCTCCACTTTTGTCATTTTCCATGCTTTGATCGTTTTCAAAATTCATCCAAGCAAAGACCGTAAACAAATATGTGTCTAATAAAAAAAAATACACCGGTAATTACACTGGTTAATTAAACTTTTCTGTTAACAAAATTTGGTTTCTCTTATTCGTTTCCAACTAATACAGCTAGGTTTGACTCAAAATTACCAAGAAATGCGTGAAAATCTTCGTCCTCAATCTATAATTTTTCGCAACGTAGATATACTAAAATCTACTGACTGTCACAATGTTGACTTTAGCTCTATGGTTACAACTTTCTGCATCTACCATATTATTGCAGCCCTGGTTGATATGCAATTTTAGTTCCTATGCATGTACTGCAATAGGAACTACTGGATTCACTTTTTTGCGGTGTGGGTGTGTAGACATTTATGAAAATGCGCATGCATCAAGAAAATGTTTTCCGACATTTTGTTTTTTATCGCGACACAAAGTTCTTCAGTGTTAGCTCAGTCTGAGCTCACGCTAACCAATCGCCAAGTCGCCATGGGCGAAAACTATTTTGGATTGGCGAAATAAACCAACTGCTGTAGGCATTTTTGCGAAGGCTTAAAAAGAAAGTTTTAAATACTTGCTGAAAAACATTTTCATTTGATTTCCATTTTCGCCAACTTCGTGTGACATTTATTTCTGTTGTTGTATGAGTAGCTACAAACATCATTTCGTGCCTCGCAAGTTATTTTTTATTTCTAATTGTTATTTTAACATGGTAGATGCATTTCAGTGGCTGTATAACGTAGACTAATATGATTGCAGTGGCTATGTTGCAGTGTACCCTTTGAATGCAAACTGAAGGCAAGTGATATAAAGGCATCCGACCGTCGGGTACATAACGACTTTCTAGCTTGGGTTTTGTCCACTAAAAAACAAGGCCTGCGATGCGAGAATTATGGTGGAACGTTAATAATAGTTTAATTAATAAATTTGTGTTATTGTCTAATATGTAAAATACATTTAAATAATGCATGTAAAATTTAAGATTTCAACGCGTGGGTCGCTTTGTTATACAGTATACGTAGCAGAGTGACAGCAGCAAGGTTAGGCCTAGCCTAGGGCCTGGGCTAGATCGTGTTTTTTCTTGATCATCACGATGAAAACTTCTTGTGACAGACAATTGGGGCCAATTGGTGTGGACGATCGGGCCCGAGACATTTTTGAAATTGTAGTTTAGTAGGCCACTACCAACTCCTGCCAGCTTCCCAACCTACGATATCGTTCCAAACTACTGTAAAATTAAAATACTGTACACTTAGGCCTACGAAATGTTTTCGAAATTTTTTTTTTTTTTTTTTTTTTTCTTCTACAAAATTTTTAAGTACCTTGTTGGTGTGCTAAACATATAACTGTAATTTGCCTATCAAAAAACATTACCAATGTGGTCTAAAAATCACTATTTTGGGCCATAAAATCTCATTTTTTGACCCCATCTTATATTTTCTGATAAAGTCATGTATCATGCATAGGAACGTTGATGCCTGCAAGGCTCTTTTTTTTTTTACTGTACTAAATTTTTTATGAATCTGTAGTTTTACTTAATAGTTCTCATTATGCTGCCCCTTTGTTCTGATGTATTGTTTTATGTCTTATTTTCGAAAACTAATTTTTTTTATGTTTTTCAATCATATTTCATTACTGATGATTGCAATAAGTTACATTATTGTTTCTGTTACTTTTAGGATAGCAAGGAGAATGTGAAAGCCAGATATGGTGATCAGATTCGCTACACACGTCTCACTAAGTCCATTCTTGAAAAAGAACTTACATTTGACCTGTCTGAAACCTATTTTGTAGTATGTGGAACCAAATCCTTTGATAAGGACATGATTAAATACCTTAAACAGCTTGGTATTAATGATGAGATGTATTTCAAGTTTTAGAATTACATGAAAATCAAGTGAAGTTTTCTAGCGCATATGAAAGATATACAGTTTGTAGTGAAGTCAGCTGTAACTTGTATCGTTTCATCTCTCTCCACCAAGTCAATTTGTTGGTAAAACAAAAAGTTTTCCATGGGAATTCCTGCAGTATTTTCGTAATTTCAATGTAAAATTCTAACTGTTTTGTTAATGTAAAGTTGAAAAATTCACCTGGGCTTCAAAAACGTGATCTAAGTATCAAAAATTTGATTAAAGCATTAAATTAATTATTTTCAATATCAATCATCTTCCAATAATTTGTAACTTCTTGATGAGGATATTTGTACTACAGATGCTTAAACTGATCACTTATATTATTGAAGCTGCTGCAAATCTGTGAGATAAATATTTTCGCATTTAATTTTAATTTTATGTACAAAATAAAGCTTGGAATTAATGATGAGATGTATTTCAAGTTTTAGGAATACATGTGAATCAGGTGAAGTTTTCTAGCGTATATGAAAGATATACAGTTTGTAGTGAAGTCAGCTGTAATCAGCTGTAACTTGTATCGTTTCATCTCTCTCCACCAAGTCAATTTGACTTGAAACATGTAGTATAATATTTTGTTGGTAAAACAAAAAGTTTTCCATGGGAATTCCTGCAATATTTTCGTAATTTCAATGTAAAATTCTAACTGTTTTGTTAATGTAAAGTTGAAAAAATTTCATGCAACGACCTGGGCTTCAAAAACGTGATCTAAGTATCAAAAATTTGATTAAAGCATTAAATTAATTATTTTCTATTTCAATCATCTTCCAATAATTTGTAACTTCTTGATGAGGATGTTTGTACTACAGATGCTTAAACTCATCACCTATATTTTTGAAGCTGCTGCTAATCGGTGAGATAAATATTTTCGCATTTAATTTTAATTTTATGTACAAAATAAAGCAAGAATATACAGAGACTAGTTAAGATATGTAACACAAGCTTTCGTTTGCTGTACACAGTACACTTCTTCATGTGATTTTATTAGTCAAAAACAGTGACACAATACAGTACAATTAAAAGGATTGAGAAAAGACATCTTAACAGCTATAAAAAGATATGGTACATGAAAATTTACTTTTTCTGAACTAGTATGACTCACCACATTATTTATAATATTAATTCAAAGTTAATAAATTATTTAAGTATACAAAGTAAGCAATTAAAATATTAGATTTTTATAGTTCAAGTTTGTTAGCTTGACACTGGACAATATATTTATATTGCTAATTTTAGAGCCTGTAAATGGCTTTATAAAAAAAAATAGATGAGAAATTAGGGAAAATTAGTAATCAGTGAAGGGTAGAAATATGATTTAAATATAAGTACAGTACTATGAATATATATTCCAGCAAACAAACCACCCATCACCAACATCAAATTATGCCTGAGAGATCAGAGTTGCATAGTAGAATTTAATTGTTCCCTAGACTGCATCTCATGTTTTACCAGGTGGTCTATCAGGTCGTTGGAACCAGCAATGCTGTATGATTCTACAAACAATATTGACTCTACATTACTTTGATCCAGTAGAGCATTGCAACCAAGCAACATAAAATACTGTATTATGCCCATATATTATTAGTATAAATATGTTATCTGTTTTAGTTAATTAATTGTAAGTTATCTAAACAGATAGGAAGTATATTTCACCTTCAACAATTCAATGACAAAAAAATAAAATAAAATATAAAAATCGTGTAAAACATGGTTTTAAATTTTAGAAATACATTTTCTATGATATACAGTTTTGTTTTCAAATGGCATTTATTCTATGGTACATAAATATTTAATTGTTTTATACCTTTTCAATGCGATCAAGAAGAAAACATTTATATCATGTCAACTTGTCAGTCGAACAATAAAGCTTCAATTTAGTTGAATTTCTGTGATATTACTATTTGTATTTTAAAATTTTTCAGTTGACGACTAATTCGCAATTGCTGATCATGATGTCCTTGTAGTATGATTTCTAACGAAAAATTTTCCAAATTGTACTCTGGCTTTTTGAGTTACGATATCACCCGTAATTGGCGTTTTAGTATTTATTATTTCCACAGCACTTCAGCACAATCTTCAGAATATTCCTTTAAATGACTTGAAAGTTAATTGCCAACAAAACAAATATCATGTCTTGTTAGGTGCATTTGTGAAAATCGTTATGATGTCCGGCTCAACTATTAAATTTTCTAGAAAACATTTTCTTCACAAACTGCACAATTTAACTCATAATCTGTTAATTTATTAGACAATATTGAGCAAAGTACCAATAGAACAACTATAGAGCCACCAGTTAATTATGATGGGCCTCCGCTATTATTCTTAAAAACCCGCGTCACATTCTAAGTGATCAATTGACTTGATACACAATGGGCTACTTGTGTATATTAAAAAGATGACCAGTTAACAAGACAAAGGTTTCCAAATGGCCAATTTGTGCCGGACAAGGCTATCGCCGATATATTTCATATATCGGTGGTGTACTTTTATAACATGATCCTTGTATTAATTGATTCGGCAGGTATGTATATTGAAATTAACTGCGCTTTTTTTAAAGGCACAAGACCACTTGTTGATAATTGCTGAATGTCGTATCTGAAGGTTTTAGTCATTGAGCGTGATGATAATTTACGGATGGATCACAGTGAAAGTTTTAAACCATTAGAAATGTCATACAAAATTACCATTAAATGATCAAGCAAAATTTGAAGAACATTTTCTGAATCATTAAAATCCGCAGATTAATTACAAAAAAAATGATATAACTGATAACTAACATTATTTTCTTTTAGAAGACTTGATTCTCAGGTCTAATCACATGATAAATACTCATTAAAACTTTTTATAGGACTTTTCATACATAATATTCATTCAGATAACTTAACAACTTCACTTCAAAGTGATTTGACTTTAAGGCATGATATTACGAAACTGTAATAAGTTCACTTCGGAGGTAGAAGGTGCATTTTTTATCTTCCGTATGAAGTTTAATTTTGTTCGAGAGAAAAACGCAAAAACTGAAGTAAGAATGTATTGTTTGCGTTCGTAAGTGCCGGTGATTACAAAGGGAACGAACATTTAGCAATGTACTAAGTCCTCTGGAATCCAAGAAACTCACGATCTATGCTAAATCGAAAAGTCAGTATAACATGCTCAGCCCCTGCAGGAATAACTACAACTAATAGTAGTGGATTAATAGCTTAGAAGTCAGTCAAAATATACTTAAATATGATGTCACGGGGATCTTCTGCTTTTCCCGATGTTAGTGATTAATGTGCTCAAGGTGAGGCGCCTGGAATGCGATGAAACAACACCGCTCTCTCAGGTGTGGAAGGACACAGGAGTAAGATATTATATCCCTGTGAATACCTTCAATATACCGGTTGATTTGAAACAGTTGCGCAGGTTGGTTCTCTGAACACCTAGCCTAGCTCTATTTTAAGCCTGTCGTGTTGTGAGATAATCCCCCTCGTGTTGTTTGGGTCCAGGTAGGGGGTAGGGTGGTTTTCTGTAAAGGATTAACTTCGACTAGACCACCCCAAGGTGGAGAGAAATATGGTAGGCGATTCCATATGAGAGGCAAACACAAATGAAATTTCTGATCCATTGTAATCTATCGTGATGAAATCTGTCTGTTTTCGATGGGCAGAATGTTTAAAAAACACGGCATCAGCCTAATGGCAGGGGAATTTTATAACCACATAGATGCTCTGGAATTCCACTTACAACTGACTGCAGACTGACCTATTTTATATTTGTTTCTATGAACTTTAATTACTATGTCGTGATGAATAGATGATGAGCATGTTGCTGCTACTAGGTCTACTACTGCTGCTGCTCCTCTGTTAATGCTCAAGGGTTGCGCCAATTTCCCCGACTGAGTCTCAATATGTATAAAATACTATAATATTTTTTTTCTCCCCGGGGTGGGGGGGCTGGTCCCCGGTGTACCGCTGGCGCCACCCATGTTACTGCTGCTACTGCTCCTGTTGCTACCCTACTGCTACATTGCTCCTACTGCTGATGATATTACTACTGCTGCTAATAGTGCTGCTGCTAATACTTGCTGCTGCCACTGCTATACTTTTACTATTGCTACTACTAATTAATAATATTTAAATTAGGTCATATCAATGGAAATAGAAACAATGTACTATAGAACCTAGTCATACTTTATCCTCCATATTCCTCACTTGATAATTGGGCACTGATGTAGATGAAGAAAAAATGCAAAGTCTGTTCCGAACGAACAAAGTAAATGAAAATGAAAGAAAAACAATAAAATGTATTACTTGCCTCTATGTAAAGGGAGACCGCGATAGTTTGCCGACAAGTTCATTTCGACCATGAAACCTACTGTCGGTGAAAACGTTTAGACAGGCGAATTTGATTTTGAACAATTAACATTAATACTGTAAACAAAGAAGTTAATCAAATTGGATTTAAATCGCTTTAATATTCACTTCTTAGTATTATGTTACCTTAAGTCACCTGCGTTCATTACCCAGAAGCATTTAAGGAGAGACAGCTATCATGGTTATAATCTATAATTTATAAGAAAAACAAATGTTATCTTCTGCTAGTTTTACGTCATATGTTTATATAATTGTTGTCTGCGTAAAGCCTTAAAAATGTAGGCCGTTATATTTTTGTGCGATTAAAATGTGATATAGGCCAAAAAATTAAACTTGAGTTTATTGATGATAATAATAACATTAACACCAATGTTAGTGTGACCTCAATATTATGTAAGCAGTTAATAAGTGAGTTTTGCTTTTAAGCGTTGTTGATCCAATTTGATTGACTTGTGTTGTTCGAGTACTCTAACTTTTAACAGATTTATTAGCGGCGGTACTTATAAACCAGCGCCGACGATCGTCAGCCGACGCGTTGTTTCCATGAAGATCGGAACGCGACGAGGCGACATTACGCCAAACGCTCACAAAGAACAGTGATGGTATCGTTGGCTGACGGTCGTAGCGCCGTCGTACGCCCCATAGTGTGCCTGGCTTAAGAGAACAACTCTGGTAGTGAA